GTTGTTGGTGGTGGAGTGTTTGTCGAGTGTTAGAAGTGCGAGGCTGCAAACGACGGGTGTTTGATGCTCACCATGCGAAATACACAATCCCGCACAACTAACAACATGCACGAAAGCACCATCACGACAACACGCACAAGCGCATACATACACACCAACACCCCTGCCCTCCCCCCGTCATTACAAATCCAACTCGCACCTTGGCGCGCTGTGCCTTGACCCTGACACCGCCGACGTTTGCCAGCTCTTCCTCAAGTGCAGCAATCTCGTGCTCCACCTTCTCTGCCTTGGCTGCAGCGGAATCACGCTTCTTGCCCAGCGCTGCCAGCTCCTTCTCCACAGCAGCGAGCGCGGCCTCGTTGTTCTCCACCGTCTTCGCCTGCTCCTCAAGCGTCGCAATCTGGAAAGCAACAACGCAGAATGAAGAAGGAACAAGTGGGGAAGGGAAGAGCGAGTGAAGTGGGAGGTGGGCCGTGAGTGTATATGGCATTGAACCGGGAATAAGGAACAAGCAGCCCATCCCATCACCATGCACAACTGTGTTAGTCACACAGACACACACAGACACACACACAGACACACACACAGACACACACAGACACACACACAGACACACACCTTCTCCGTGAGGGCGTCAATCTTGGCCGTCAGACTGTCAATCTCCTGCTGACAGCGCTGCGCATTCGCCGTGACGGTGGCCAGCTCGCGCTTTGCGGCACCAACGGCCTCCTCCCAGGTGCTGCGCTGCTCGCGGGCCTTACGTTGCCGCTGCACCAGCTGCTCCAACTCGCGCTCAAGCGACTCGAGTTCCGCCGGAGACACCTCCTCCGCCAACGTCGACGACATCCCGCCACGCTGCACCTGAACACACGCACACGCGCACGTGTGCGTGCATGGAGACAGTGAGGATGACCAGAGTGAGTGCTACGTGTGCAAATGATCGAAACAAGTGCGCATGACAAACACGAATGTAAAGAACATACAATCTCCCACCCTGGATCTCCATCACCATCACCATCACCACCATCACTACGGTACCTTGTTTCCGCCACCAGACATGGTTCCGCTCGTGTCAATCAGCTGTCCCTTGAGCGTGACAACGCGGTATCGAGCGCGCTTGCCCTGGTACGCGATGGAGGTGGCGTCATCGAGCGAAGGCGCAACAAGCGTGTCCCGCAGGGCGTGGTAGAAGGCGACCTTGAACTTGTCGTCCTGTCATCCGTGCGCGTGGTTTCATGTCAATATTGCAAGTGAGCATTGTATGTGCGTGCGTGTGTTTGAATTCACGCGAGGCAGAGGACTACAAGCGCAATGCAGAGGCAAGGGTGATGCAAAGCGTTCACACACACACACACACACACACACACACACACACACACACACACACACACACACACACACACACACGCATCATCTTCACCTCCATCCCTCCTAATCCTCATCCGCCCTCACCTTGACGCGAATGAGGTCGTAGAGGCGTGGCGCCGGCGCGTTGAAGGGCTTGTCGGCCTGTGCAGCAAGATGCTGAATCTTCTCCAGGATGATAAACGTCGCGCGACCAACGTTGTGCTTGCGGAGAAACTCAACACACTGCTGCCCCTGCTCAACAGTGTCGACAACAAGGTGGTTGAGGGCGCCGCACGCCGTCGTCACAGCGCAGTCATACTTGTCATCAATGGCACCAAGGCTTCCAAGACGGCCGTGGAAGCCTGTGATCTTGCCCCGTCGCGCCCGTTCCTTCAGCGCTTCAAGCACGCGGTTGGTCGTGTGCTGCGCCTGCGAGGCAGACCGGCGCTCCTCAAGCTTCATGCGCCGCGTCGACACCTCGTCATCAAGCGGGCCCTGGTTCTTCGCCAGCACCCGCAACTGCTTCTCAGCGGCAGGCACCTCAGCCTCGAGCTTCTTCTTGCGGGCAGCCAGAGTCACAAGCTCGCCCTTTCGCTCCTTCAACGTTGCCCGCGCGTGTGCCAGGCCCTCCGTTGCCTCCTGCAGCTGCGCCTCAATGTCGCGCGCACCTTTCGTCAAGAGATCGCGTTCGGACTTCTTGATGTCATATGCTGCGGCGGCGTTGTCGCGTGCGCTGCTCAGCGGTACGAGCGCCTCCTGCTTCTCATGCAGCCGCTGCTGCACAGCAAGGCGGTCGTCCTGGTGGCGGTGGTGTGTATGTGTGTGCGTGTGTGTGTGAACGAAGGGGACAACAAGCAGCAGGTGAGCGCGAAGGCAATGAAGGGACGTGTTCACGTTCGTGATGCAACATGCAAGCCTTACCCCTCCACACACACACACACACACACACACACACACACACACACACACACACACACACACACACACACACACGTGCACACCTCACCTCAAACTCGTTGTAGAGGCTCTCGAGGACCTTCTCCTCCTTGCTCAGGGAAACTTCAAGGCCCTTAATCTCATCTGTCAACCGTGACACGTCGTCCTGGGCAGCTGTCACCTGTGACGTGGCCTCGTTAAGCGCCTTCTCGTCCTTCTGCATCGATTTCTCAATGCGCTTCAGCTTGGTCTTGTTGTGCTTCATGTCCTGGCATTGTGTAAATATGTGTGCGAGTGTGTATGTGTGTGTGTGAGTGTGTGTGCATTGTTGTGCAAGTGAGTGTGCGTGCATGCGTTCGTGCCGACGGGTGATGAGATCATGGCAACAAGCACTGCTAAACAAACGGCACGAGGCCGTCCCAAAAACTCCATACATGCACTCACCTCCTTGTGCTTGATGTCCTTGCGTTCGTATGCGATAAAGTCAGCCTTGGCCTTCTCTGCCGCCTTTTTCAAACTGTCATACTCCCGCTTGTCCTTCTCATACTGCTTCTGAATGCCTTTGGACTCGTGCAGAACAGTCTTCATCTCCTGCTTGGCATCCTTCACCGCGCGCCGCTTCGCGTCGGCCTGCTCCTGCAGCTGTTCCAGGTTCTCTGTTGCCTGGTGAAGGTGGCACTGGAAGAGCTTGGACCGCAGCATCGTCAGCTCATTTTCTTGCATCAGGTACGCCTCCGCTTCCTTCTTTCCGGCCTCGAGCGCGTTCTTCTCCTCCTCAACCACCTGCCGGGGGAGAGAGAAAGAGAGAGATAGAGAAAGAGAGAGAGAGAGAGAGAGAGAGAGAGAGAGAGAGAGAGTGAGTGAGTGTGTGTGTGTGTGTGTGTGTGTGTTGCGCGTGAGAGACGAAAGCGCGGGCAAATTGCAAGCGAACCATCCTGTTCACTGTCTCCTTTCCTCGCATCATGCAGAACATATCCAAGATCACCACCGATGCGTGCGTGTGCGCGTCGTTGCTCATGGTGTGTTCATCAACGTACGTGCACGCGCGAGAGTTTTTCGTTGCGCTTCTCGTTGAGTTCTTCAAGCATGAGCTCGTGCTTGGCAATGTCCTCTTTGAAGCGCACGGACCTGATGACATCCAGCGTGAGATTGTGATGTTGTGAGTGATAATATGAGTGATGTTGTGTGTGTGTGTGTGCGTGCATGCGAGGTAATGAAAGAGCGGGTAGGTGTGTGGTGGAGGTAACAATGAAGCACTGCAAGCGCATCGGGCATCCTCACACGCACAAAACTCCCCACAACAACGACAACAGCAGCAGCAGCAGCAGCAGCAACAACAACAACAACGACTCGACTCACCCGATGATGTCCTCGAGGTATTCGAGCAGGCCGACGTCGTGTTCGTTCTGCGCCTTTGGTTTCATCATGGCAATCTGCTCCACCTCGCCCTGCAGGATGAGAAAGCGGTTGTGGTCCAGGTCGATGCCCTTTGACCGCAACACGTCCGCAATCTCGCCAAAGGTGCGCTTCTTGCCGTTGAGGTAGTAGAACGACTGGCTGCTGGACGTGGCCTCGCGTGCAACCACCAGCTCAGAGTCAGGCACAATGTCAAACCCGCCGTCATCCTGGATTGCACGCAATCGTAGCGCGTGCGCAGAAAGGGGTCGCGAACGTATGTGCGTGAGAGAGTGTGTATGGGTGTGAATGTGTGTGTGTGTGTGTGTGTTTGCACGCGCGTGTCTTGTTTTTTCGGTGTCAGGTGTGTAATAGTCATGTTCGGCTTGATACGTGTGTTGCTGCCCCACCCCACCGCCCTTCCACACCTAAACACACACACACACACACACACACGAAAGCGCACATTGTAGCCACGCTTACCCTGTCGAGGATCTCCTGCATGAAGACGCTGACGCGGCAGCTGGGCAGGTTCTGGTGGTGCTCGGAGTTGTGGATGAGGTCCTTGAGCTTGGCTTGGCGGATCTTCTTGGCCCGGAAGCCAAACACAAACAGCATGGCGTCGATGACGTTGGACTTGCCACTGCCGTTGGGGCCAACCACAGCGGAAAAGCACTGCACATCACCAAACGTGGAACACAGCACATGCGTGTCGTTTAGTTTCGTCAGTTGGTCGACACAGAAACAATGTTGATCGTTGTTGTTGTTGTTGTTTGCGGTGTGGGTGAACTACATTGTGCCGAGTGCACTCCGGCACACGTGTGTATGGTAGCTGATGACACACACACACACGTTTACACATCTCCCCGCACACCAAGCACACACAGAAGCACAGCACCAACACACACACACACATACACATACACACACGCACACACAACCACTTGCCTTGTGGAACGGGCCGACTTCCTGCACGCCGTAGTATGACTTGAAATTTTCAAGCCGCATCTTGGTGATCATGAGGCGCGGGGTGCGGCCATCTGCGCCGCTGCCGCCGCTTGCACCCTCAGACATCCTGCCAGGTGTTGATGTGTGGGTGCTGTGTGGATGGTGCTGGCTGGTGTTGATATGGGTTGGTGTCGTCGTTTGCCGTTTTTCGAAAATTTGGCGGCCAACGGTTGACGCAGGCCAGAAAATGCCGAGTCAGCAGAAAACAGCCGACATAGAACACATTTTGTGCTGTTGTGAAAAGGAAACTGGCTGCTGAGCCAAGACTGCTGTGATGTGAGGCTGTCTGCTGGTCTTCGCTCAGCAGCAGCAGCAGCAGCGCCGTCCGTGCTTTCTTCCTCCCTTTTTTCATTCATTGGGATGTGGGAATAGAGCAACGCAGCCAAGAGCACAGGAAAAAGCAACATCAACAACACGATGACCGTTCGTTAAAGCAGCTAGCACATGCATCACAACACCCAATTCACTCACTCACCCACGGGTGAACACATGTCAAAGTCTATTATCCACACACACACACACACACACACACACACACACACACACACACACACACAAACAAACACACACACACACAAACAAACAAACAAACGCACACAACACACAAACAAACAAGCAAGCAAACAAACAAACGCAAACAAACAAGCAAGCAAATGAACAAACAAAAACACACGCAGCACGAAGCTAGAGGAGAGATTGGCTGAGCGAGTCCTTTGAGGAAGCGAGGAGGTGTGCGTCTGGCTCGTCCCACTGATCAGGCGACAGCCCACCTGTTCCTCTCTGCATCCCTCTCTGCATCCCTGGGAACACCCCACCGCCGTTCCCATCCTCATCCGCCTCCTCCTCTTCATCCTTCGCGACGGTAGTCAAAGATGTCATCATCGTCGTCGTCATGCTCGGTGTCCGAGGGGCCTTCATCGTCCTCGCTGTTGTCACTGTTGTCAAAGGCGCTGAAGTCGTACGTGTCCTGTCGCCGCACAACCTTCCGCACGCGCCGCTTTCCGCTGCCACTGCCATTGCTGTGACCACGCCCATACGCGCTACCGTTTCCCTCAACCACCACGTCGTCTGCAAACGTGACGCGCGTGGAGTGTGGGGCAGCGGCGGCAGTGCTGCTGGTGACGGTGGAGGCGAGGGCGGATCCGAGGGAGGTCCCGCCCATGGACACGTTGCCCAGCTTGGCTGTGAGGTCGCCGTCGTCGTTGTAGTGGCTCGTGTCCTGGAAGCGCAGCACGGCCTTGGCATATGCGCGCCGCCATGCAATCATCTCCGCGCAGGCGATGAAGATCATGATGATGAGGGACGCGGTGCACGTTGCGCGGATGACGCGGAAGTTGATGCGAAAGTCAAACGAGCCGCACTCTCGCAAGGCGCCGCGGAAGTAGGCCAGTGCTACCCCGAAGAGGAGGAAGATGATGCAGAAGCTGAACAGGCGGATGAGCGGTGAGCGGAACCCGCGCACGGTGGTCGACATCTCCATGATGGAGATGCACAGGATGCTCCAGGCAAAGAAGATGCCGCGCGCGACGTCAAAGTTGCAGTAGACGGGGTCCGGGTGTGTGATGAGCAAGCATTCGCAATACGCGATCATCGCCTCATACGTCGCATTAATTTTGGGTGTCAGCAAACCGGCCTTCTGGGCTTCCTCAATCAGGGCGGGGTTGGCAAACGAGAACCGGCATGCCTCGCGCTGCTGCGAGAGTCTGTGTGTGTGTGTGTGTGTGTGTGTGTGTGTGTGTGTGTGTGCGTGTGTGTGTGTGTGCGTGTGTGTGTGTGTGGTGTGGTGTGGTGTGTGTGTGTGTGTGTGTGTGTGTGTATGCGCAACAGCGTGTGTTTTGTGTGGTTGTTTGCGTGAAAGGTGGTACGAGTAACGGTGTGTGTTATGTGTGTGACATCAGCAGAGGGGAAACTTTACGCATGCGCTCGCCTGACGTGAGAACAGGGAAAGAAGGGAGAAAGAAGCCAAACTGAACGTACGGCGCGCACGAAGAAGTCAGGCTCAGCGCTGTCGGACAAGCTCGCGTAGAGGTTCAGGCAGTCAATGTGCCTAATTCAATGCAGAAAGAGATGGTCGTGGGTGTGGGAACGAAGGAAACATGCAAAGTGCAAACGCAGTTTGCGCACAAGGTCTATGCAAGTGCACATGAAAGGCAACACCGCGAGCTGCAGTCTCACACTCACACACACATATGCAAAACAATGAACACACACAAACACACATGCAAATACAAACACACGCACACACACACACAAACACACACACACACACACCTGCATGAACGGGGGACGTCGTGAAGATCCGAAATCAGGTAGATGGACAGAAGCATGACCACAATCTCCGCCATCTTGTTGGAGATGTTCAGCACAGACATGAGGTTTTCCTTCTTCTCCGCTGGTATCTTCCACTTGCGATAGCGGCGATACGCCCGCCGCACAAAGTCCATGGCTGGCTGCTGTTGGTGCGCTGTTGTGCTTTCTTTGCTGCGTGGCTTGGCTTGGCTGACAGCACGACACCATGAAATGTATTTTTGTTGATTCGATTGCGGCCACCACACGATATGATGACGAGGTCTGTGTTTGTTTGCACCGCTGCAGCGCTGCTGCTTCTTGGCTGTGCTGCTGCTGTGGGTGCTGCTGCAAGCGCTGCTGGTGGCAGTGTGCATGAGGTGACATCTCTGCCTGGCTGGGATGACAAGCTGCCCAGCCGCATCTTCAGCGGCTACACACCAGCCGGGACTCCACCAGGGTGCGTAGTTGACATGTGTGTGTGTGTGCGTGTGTATGTGTGTGTGTGTGTTTGTTTTGATGTGTGTGTGTGTCTGTGTGTTGATGCAACTGGATGTGCGTCGGCTCAAGTTACATGATGGGCGTGGAAGCAGTGTGTTCGATGTTTATCCGAAGGTACAGACAGAAGAGTATCAGACAAGCATCGCGAATTCGTGCAGGTGCGACCAATGCCATCCATGATCACTTCCACTGACGTCACCATGTTGGCCTCTGGCTAGATATCCCAATGGAACGATGCATGGTGCACTGGATTCTGCTGGAGAGCGAACGGGATCCAAAGAACGACCCGCTTGTTGTCTGGTATCAGGGCGGACCGGTGAGTGCGGCATGGGATGGGGAGGGTGGAGGCATCAAAGCCTGAGGCTGTGATGTGCTGTTGTGTACTTTTTGTGTGGGTAGTAGTGTCCTTTTGGTGAGCTGGCTTCATCGTTATGCGCACGTGTGCACTGCTCGTTGCTCTGTGCATGTATGGTGTATTTCACTGTACGAGGCTATCCATCCACATTCACTTGTCGTGACGCATGATGCTGCTGCTGCTCACAGGGGGCGTCATCGCTGTACGGCTTGTTTGTTGAGTTTGGCCCGCTCAGGCTGAACGAGCTCTCCATGCAGCACTACAACGAAACGGGCGTGCCTGCCCTCATCCCCAACGAGTACAGCTGGACCAAGGTGACACAATGGCTGAAGAAGTGGCGTGGTGGGTGGAGGCAGCGAAAAGACAGCCACAAACTCGCAGACACTCGCCATGTGCATCGTGGAATGACACTGTCATGACACCCGATCACCTACCGCAACGGCACACCCACACACATACACATACACACACTCCTGTGTCGAAGCATCGTCTCATTGTACAAGCGCCTTGCTTTGAGTGCAGTTTGCGAATGTGCTGGTGATTGACAACCCGCCACCCGTTGGCTTCTCGTATTGCGATCCCGTCGGCCCCACAGGCAACGGCGACTCCTGCGGTCTGCTGCTCTGTTGTTGTTTGGTTTGGTGTGTGTGTGTGTGTGTGTGTGTGTGTGCGTGTGTGCGTGTGTGCGTCTGTGTGTGTATGTATGTGTGTGTCTGTGTGTGTCTGTGCCTGAACGCTTATTTTCCATCACCATCAACGCTCGAAACCCACCTTCATATCTGTTTCCCATCTCTCATAACCCCACTCGTGCTACCGCCCACCACTTGCGCGCTGGCTGCACCCATCAGGCGCGTGGAACGACTCCCTGGTGGCCACCGCCAACCACGCCATGCTCTCCGAATGGATCAAGCAGATGCCCGACTACGCCCACCTCGACATGTACATCACAGGTCTGGTGTGTGGTGTGTGGTGTGTGTGGTGTGTGCGTATGGTGTGTGTGTGTGTGTGTGCGTGTGTGTGTGTGTGTGTGTGTGTGTGTGTGTGTGTGTGTGTGTGTGTGTGTGTGTGTGTGTGTGTGTCGATAGGTGTTATTGCACACCAATTCTGCCATTCCATTCTCTGTTATGCGCGTTCCACGTTTGTGAGTGCCCTCTCATTGTTACTTCCCTCACCGGTGCTACGTCATTGCACACACGTGCACACATGCACATCACCTGCAACCTGCCCACTGCTCACTGCATACAATACTGTCTGCTGCAGGCGAGAGCTATGCCGGCGTGTACGTCCCCACCATCGTCCGCGCCATCCGTAAGCTGTGATGCGATGTGATGGGATGTGATGGGAGGTGATGTTGAATGTGATGTTGAATGTGATGTTGAATGAGATGCGATGGGATGTGATGGACAGCGTGATGTGACAGACGCACACGTTCGCCTGCGCAGTGCCGATATACCCAGACACAAACACACACACACACACATGCACACACACATGCACACGCACACGCTCTTATAATGTGCAAATGTTACATTCGCCAGTGAATGACCCGCGCGGGCTGAATTTGAAGGGATTCGCTGTTGGCGACGGCTGCCTCGGCACCGAGGTAGGCGTGTGTATGTGTGTGTATGTGTGTGTGTATTTGTGTATGTGTGTGTGTATGTGTCTTTGACTGTTTAATGTTCGTTGCTCTGTCTGTTTGTTGCTGCTCCCTATTGCGATCGACACCTGCACAACTTCGCTCGCTGTTTTTTGCCTGCAAGCACCACAGCAGCATGGTCAGTTCTCCTTCTCCAACGCTCACAACACCCCCACCCCTCACGCACACACACACACACGCACGCATTCATCTCTTCCCTCCACCCCTGTTGCTTGGCTACAGGTGCTGTGTGGCCCGAGCGGCGGTCCGTATTGGAACGTCGAGTTTATGCACGGACACGGCCAGTTCAGCAACAAGTGTGTATGCACGTGTGTGCACGTGTGTTTATTTGTGTGTTGGATGAAGGAAGTGCCGAATATTGCACAAACACGCGCGCATTCAAGCAACTCAAACACACACACACATACCCATCTCGCAAATGCAGGCTGTACAACTCCATTCAGAGCACGTGTACAGAAACGGAGTTGAAGCAAGGCAACCTGTCCACTGCCTGTCATGCCCTCATCCAGCAGATGAACACGGAGATTGGCGGATATTACGGCTACAACCTCTATGACACGTGTTACGCGCAGCACGTGTTTGCACCCAACCCTTCCTCCTCCAGGCAATACTGGTCCTCCGCGGTTGGGATGGGCGTGGGCGGTGCCCTGAACGACTATCCTTGCCCAGGCGACGCCTTGAACATCTGGGTCAACCTGACGGAAGCCCGCCAGGCGCTTCACGTGCCCGTTTCCTCCACGTTTTTCAACGGCGACAACGGCGCCGGCATGAAGTATTCCCTGACAGAGCCAGACCTGCTTCCCTTCTACGAACATGTTGTCCGCAACACCAGTCTTCGTGTTCTCGTCTACAACGGCGACACAGAGTGCGTTTCAAGACTGTGTTTATGTGACTGACCTTGTTTGTGAATATGTGTGCGTGTTTGTGAATGTGTGCGCGTGTATGTGAATGACATTGCGTTTGAATGGCATTGTGTGTTCGTTCGTGTGCGTTGTTCCCGCACACTTGCTCCTTCCCTCCTTCTCCGATGCCTCACCACCTCTCTGCAACTCCAACGGCAACACACCAACACGGCAACAGCCCTGGCATCAACTCCTTTGTCACGCAGGACAAATACGTCCAGTACTTTGACTCAAAGGTGTGTGTGTATGCTTGTATGTGTTGATGAGTGTGTGTATGAGAGTGTGTGCGTATGAGAGTGTGTGAGGTGTGTGTGTGTGTGTGTGTGCGTTGATGTGCTGCTGTTCATTCATGGGCGGTTCAGCACTATTGCCTCAATTACCCCTGTTCTCTTCAACACCTCGTCACTACCCTCACCGTCAACACCGTCAACACCGCTGCCACCACCACCACCACCACAACCTCGTCATCTCCACTACGATCATCGATCATCGTCAGGGTCTGCGCGAGACAGAGACGTGGCGGCCGTGGACGCTGGACGGAAAGAAACAAGTCGCTGGCTACGTCTTTGGTGCGCTGACGACGCTGTTATTGATGCGGATGGGTGGTGATGGGTGATCATGGGTGGTGGTGGGTGGTGGTGGTTGTGGTGGTGGTGGTGATTAAGGAGGGATGAAAGTGTTGAGGAGAACAAGACGTCAAGAAAACGATCCCATTGACGGTGTTCATGTCCGCTGTTGTGAGTGCGGCGGGTATGAGGTTGTGAGTGCGGCGTGTACGAGTAATGGCCACCAATCGCTGATACACGCTCGCACACACAACACACACCCTCTCAATTGTTGGACACCAGGTTACGAGAGCAACTTCCATTACCTCACCATTCGTGGCAGCGGCCATATGGTGTGTGCTCGTGTGTGTGTGTGTGTGTGTGTGTGTGTGTGTGTGTGTGTGTGTGTACATGTGTGTACTTGTGTGCATGTGTGTGTGTGTTTTGCAACTGTGTCATGTTGCTTGCCACCAAGCACGCTGTACTGAACCTCTTCGAGTTACTCATCACCACCATCACCACGACCATAATCATCAGGTGCCGGAGTTCAAACCACAGGCGGCGCAGTCGATGCTGCAGTTCTTCCTTGCAGACAAGAACTGGCCCGCGTACAACCCGTGACATGTGATGGCATGTGACACTTGATCCGTCACAAGCAGCCGTCACTTCTTCACTTCACTTCACCACCACCACCACCACCACAACAACAACAACAACAACAACAACAACAACAACAACAACAACAACAACAACAACAACAACAACAACAACAACAACAACAACAACAACAACAACGTGCTTCTTCCCCTTTTCTCTGTGTTGATTCTGGTCATGCTGACACACACACACACACACACACACGTGTATTCAATCTGGTGTTGTTTGATTTGGTTTTGGGTATTGACAGCAGCAGCAACAGCAGCAGCAGCAGCATCAACGCAAAGCAGGCAAGCAAACAGGGCACCCATCACATACAACAATGAATGCAATCATTTTGCAGAAAAAGGAAACCACTCAGAAAAGAAAGAAAGAAAAAATCAAGGAATACAGCGTGACACACAGACACACAGGGGGGGGGGCAATTGGGATGTGTCTTCAAGACACGCGGGCGTGTACATGCCAACCACCCACAACCACGGACTGGCACGCCGACTGCTGTTAACTCCATTCACGTGCGTCAAAGTGTCCCCACGCGTCAGTGGGGTGAGCAGGGACATTACGCGCTGCTGCTGGTGTCCTGCTCCTCTGGCACGGTGTACAGGATGGGATGGCTCTTGTCATCGTCAAGGCTGTCCCCAACCTGTTCTCACACATCGCATTTGTAAGGTGGGGCGGTGGGATGAGCAAGTGTGCGGGTGGGGAGGGGTGAGTTAGTGAGCAAGAGCATATCACAGCTTCACTTGCGCACACCACCACCACCACCACCACCACCACCACCACCACCACCACCACCACCAGCAGCAGCAGCGTTCACTGATCATGCACGTGACACACACACACACGTGCAAATTCACGTGCAAATACACGTGCAAATACACGTGCAAGCAAGCGAGCACGAGTGAACGGCACCTTGAGGGCCTTGAATTCCTCCTCAGTGAGGAAGCTGCGGCGGCCGTTGAAGGTGCACCCAAATGGCATCAGCTGAACACGGACCAAAAGGCCAGAGCAGCAAGAAGTAGAGCGTGCATGCATGCACGCGTGTGTTGTGTGTGCGTGAGCGCATGAAAGCTAATGATGTAAGACACCAAAGGCACGGACAGCCTCGCAAGCGCACATATGGGTTCACCTTGCCAACCCCTCCAATTGCATGCCTGCAAGCAACAGCTGCTGCGTACCTGGATGGTCATGGCGCGGCGCGGACTGGAGGTCATGTTCGGGCCCGAGGCATACACGACACGGCCTGCATCAAGCAATTCATTGTGTGTGTGTGTGTGAAACAAACACGAGTACATTATCACACGGAAGAAATACATTATCAGACGGAAGAAACGCCGCAGAGCGAAACAAGTTCCCTCTTCCCTTCCTTTCATTGTCTTCGCTACACTGTGTGGCTGTCGTTGCTTGCACATCAACAACACATCAACGACACATCAACAGCGCGTCAACAGCACGTCAACAGCGCATCAACAGCACGTCAACAGTGCACTGCTGACCATTGTGGAAGATGCAGTCGCCGGCCTTGAGATCCACCGCCATTGCGTCCTTGCCCGATTCGAGCAGTTCAGGCACCTCATCAAAGATCTGACACGCGCACGCATGCAAGCGTGAGGGCGTGTGAGGCACAGGTGAAAGCAAAAAGATGCGTGATGTAACCAGCGTGCACACAAGGGCACACAAGCACGCGTGTGCTGGTGGCATACCTTGCGCATGTACTTTCCGCGGCCAACGTCGCGGTACTTGCCCTCGCGTTGGGCAACTTCTTCGATGATCTTGTGGCTCCCTGACACAAACGAGCACGAGAAAGGACGAGAAAGGGTGAGGTGGTTGTCAGAAGGCGCAATGTAGACACCAAAGCACGCGCACGCACACACACACACACACATACATACACACACACGCATACACACACGCACGCACACAAAGGTACAAGCACATACACGCACCCTACCTGGGAGAAAGTACATGCAACCGCTCTCTGGCGTGATGTCGTCGAGGGCAATCCAGATGGAGAGCGCGTGCGGGGATGTGAAGGACCAGTGGGGCATGTCAACCGTCCAGGGCAGCTGATCGGCAAACGCGGGCTCGTACCTGTGCTTGCAAGCAACCAGTAACAAGAATGTTAAGGGAGGCGTGCAAACAAACTGCCAGTGCGTGCCAAGGGCAATCGCAAAGTAGGTGCGTCTATGCATTCGTGGTTGCACCACGAGCGCTTGCATGCAAGCACGTAGGCACGTCAAGAAGCATCAATGCCCAACAACGCACATGGCGCGGTCGTGGTACACGCGAACGCCGGAGATGCCCTCAAGCTGGCAGGCCATACGCCCCAGCACTTCTTTGGCATTGGACAGGATGGTGGCCAGCGACTCATGCGTCTCCCACAGGTTGACGCGCTGCAGGAAGACCTGTCATGGCGGTGAGGAGGGGTGGATAGCGATGGGGGTGGCGACGAAAGGGCAAAGAGCACGCACGAGCGTGAGCAAAGCAAGACACGGCGTGTTCGAAGAGGCAGGCAACAAGCCATAGTTTGAGCGATGATGTGCACAAGCACCAAGATCAAAAGCAATCAAAGAATCAAGAGCGCTTGATATCCCCTCGCTTTGAGCATACATTGTCTGCACGCTCCTCCTCAGCGCCGTGGGTGACAGGGCTGTTTGCACGCTCAGCAACAGCCTGTGAAGGGTGACGGCAAAGGGTTGTGAGGCGAGAAGGCAGGATACAAAGGCATGTTGTGGCAGGAGACAATAAAGGGGATCGATAGTGCAGGTACGGCTGTGAAGCATGCGTGCATGCTGATGCGGCTGTCCTTGTTGTCTCTTTGATGATGACGAACCTCGTCCACGGCCGTGCGCCACTTCTCGAGCTGCGATGCGCTCAGGATCTGCGGCACCCGAATGAATCCTGTGTGTATGTATGGGGGATGGTGAGTAACAAACGGTCAGTAAGCTATCCGTTTGAATCGCAGTACAAGCGGAGGCACACACAGACACACACACACACATACACACACGCACACAAGCACACACACACACACACACACACAAGCACACCTTTGCGATCGTAGGCGTTGATGTCTTCGTCTGTGAGCTCAATGTCGCCCACAACCTGCTCGCTGACGGGGCAGTGGAAGAGGCGAACGCCAGCAGCAGCAAGCACGGCTTGTGGTGAGCCACGGCAACGGCCAGCAGCACCCAGCAAGGCAGCGGAGGCCTGCTTCATACGAGCGAATCGCATCATGGACATCTTCGAGTTGGGGGGTGTTAGCTGGTTCTTCTTGTTTGGTGGTGAGCACAAGCACTGTGGGAGAGCGTGTGTGTGTGCGTTGGAGAGATCACAGAGATCGGAGAGCGAGAAGAAGACAGGCAGGTAGGTGTGACGTGAGTGAGGCAAAAAAGGAAAAATGAGTGGTGTGTGATCTGGTTGGAAGCCAACACAGCGCAGCACGAACAGCACAAGCACGACGAAGCAATCACTGGCTGGCTGGTTTGTTTGTTTGTTTGTTTGGGTTTTGTGCAATCAAATCTCAGTCAGCCTGCAAGCAAGCAAGCGAACGCGAGCAAGACGGATGCTTTTTATGGTGTTGTAAGCAGTTTTCTCGTCCGCGCGCAAACACGACGAACGTGCGTCCGCACAAGTCCGCACAAACCACCTGCACTGCTGCTGCCAAACGACGACGACGACGATGGAGCAGCAGCAGCAGCAGCAGCAGCAGCAGCACTTTGAGCATGTGTGGTGCTCGAAGGCGACCACGGACGAGGCACGGCGCGCGCTTGTGGTGAGTGTCGAGAAGAAGGAGAGATTCGGGTTGGTGCGTGTCGTGTGGTGGTGCTGCTGCTGTTGGTTGCGTTGTGGAGAACAATGCTTGGCTGTGTCGCTGACGCGGATTGGGGTGCGTGGGTTTGGTTTTGGTTGAACAGAGCGGGATCTTTGCGCAGAAGCCTGTTGACGATGCACCAGCCGTGAGCTTACAGCTATGTGACCAGTGCATCGTGGCATACCACAAGGCCCGCGCCTCGTTCTTGGACAGCCTCATCCCGGACGACGTCGCACGCGAAGTGTAAGTCGCACGAAGAGCAACCAGCCCCTGCACGCTTATGTTCCATGTGGGTGTGTGTGTGTGTGTGTGTTTATGCGTGCGTGTGTGTGTGTGTGTGTGTGTCTGTGTCTGTGTCTGTGTGTGTATGTGTGTGTCTGTGTCTGTGTCTGTGTCTGTGTCTGTGTCTGTGTCTGTGTCTGTGTCTGTGTCTGTGTATCTGTGTCTGTGTGTATGCATGCAAGCCAGTTCCAACGCGTCCACGCGTGTGTTTGGTTTGTGTCTGAGCACAGGGATGGAGATCTATTCCCGCCAGGCTTCCATGAACAGAAGTTGCTGGCATGGGAACAGCCCTGTGTCATCGATCCGCTGTACAAGGAGTGCGTGCACAGGGTGCCTTTCCAGTCGGCTGTCGCGTGCCAGCACTTGCTGCTGCATTTCCTGTTCTTGCCGCGTTTCCTGACACTCGAGTGCCCAGCAGCCGTCACAGGCGCTGCAGCCGAACAAGCTGGCACAAGGACGTACGAGCAAGTCGTGGGCGGCTTCATCGACCACCTTCCCGAATCTTTCTCCGATCAAAAGCCAATCCCACTGCTGCCAGGACACCTGCGACTGGCCGCCCATCCTGCCAAGGCTGTTCGCCACCACGTGCTCGTGAAATTCCCGCCATCTGCGACTACAACACCCGACCAGCCGCAGCCGTCCCTCATAGCGCTCATCCCAGCAGCGTTTCGCCTGCTTGTGGTGCGTCGTAGATGTGGTAGCGCTGCGCTGTGACGAAGAATGGACCAGGCACCAATGACGTTAATGTTTAGCTATCAAATGCTTGAGCGAGTCAATCCACACTCACACGCACATACACGCACACATACACACACATACACACACGCGTCATGTCATGGTTTACATACGTACGTACGTAGGACCTGGCCCACAACCCGTCCCTTCCCTGGGATCCTCTCATCACACTCTTGGAATCTGTCGACGTCACACGGCTGCTCACGTATGTGTGTTTGTGTGTGTGCGTGTGTGTATGTGTGTGTGTGTGTGCGCGCGCGCTTTAGAATGCTTGTGTGTGATGGTTTGGCTGCTGGCGGCTCACTCATTTCATGGCACAACTCACCCTTCATCATACCTCATTGCATTGTGTGTGTGTGTGTGTGTGTGTGTGTGTGCATCGATACAGCGGTGATGTGCTGGCGGCCTTCTTCCACATCACATGTCGCAAAAGGGTACAAGGGCTACATGTTGTCATGTCCGTGTTGTGCAACACTTGTCGACACACACACACACACACACACACGAACAAACATACGAACAAACAAACGCGCACACACACACACACATACACACACACACACGAACAAACATACGAACAAATATACGTGCACGTACGGCCTCACTTGTCGCGATTACACGTGTGTTGCTGATCTCGTGCTGTCGACACAGAAAAAGCTTGGTTTCTACCACGTGTTTCGACTCGCCTTCCCGCCGCTGAAACACACAGTGTGGAAATACAGGTGCGCTGGACAAAGAGAGAAGGGGGTACCGTTGCACCATACATGTGCACCTGCCCCGTAACCCCTTAGAGTCGGTGTAGACACAACGAACAGTCCACATGTACACAGCTGCACTCACACACACACATACACACACACACACATGCATTCACGCCCTGCTGATGTTGTTGTATTGTGTCAGCCAATCGCTTGATTTCGTCATGTCGAACTGGCACGCGATCAACCTCGGCGCCGTTGTGTGGAACGACGATGACAAAGCGTTTGTGACAGCACTCCTGCAGTCCCTTGCACACGCGCCCGCCCGCACGGCCATCATGCTACTGAAACAGGTGCGCAGTGCAGCAACTTTTGTGTGTATGTGCGTGCGTGTGTGTGTGCGTGTGTGTGTGTGTGTGTGCGTGTGTGTGTGTGCCGTGCAGGTTCGTGTATCGTTGCATGCTGCTCATCGTATTGTTCCGCACCGCACCGCTCACAACCGCCACCACCATCGCCACTTTCGGTGCAGCTTGTTGCGACCATCCGCCCACCAGGATCAACAGACGCCTTCCTCACCCTCATCACAACACACTTGTACGTCCGATATTGACACATGTGCTATACCTGCTTCGTTACGTGTACCATTTTCCGTGCAACCAACTCCATGCCACCTTTCGAGCCACGCAGCTCACATCGTTGTCCCGCCATTATCTCCACCATCACTTGAACCTCACCACCAATACCACCACATCACCACCATCACCATCGTCACCATCACCATCATCATCATCATCACCACCGCCATCACATCACCAGGCCGGAGCTGACGGCGGTGTACGACTTCACGTCGCCCAAGGACGACGATACTGCCGGTCTCATGGACAGCAGCGATGACGCCTCGGATATCGATGATGATGATGATGATGTCGGTGATGATGATGATGGCTTGCGTGTTGGTGCGGAACTCGCAGAACAACCAGCAAAACAACCAGCAGAACAACCAGCAGAACAAGGAGCAGAACAAGGAACAGAACAAGCAGCACAGCAAGCAGCACAGCAAGCAGCACAGACGACAGCAGCAGCAGCAGTTGAAGGGCAGGGTGAGGTGCAAGGGGTAGCAATACACGTCAACACGCCACCGCCGCCACCGCTGCCAGAAGAAGAACAAGAACAAGAAGTGGAAGGAGGTGGAGAACCCCCAGCAAAGAGGAGCAAAACAGCCGCACACACGCATACACGCACACGCGTACGCGAGGATGATGAGGATGAGGAGGATGATGATGATGATGATGCAACGCCATCGCCACCACCGCAATTGCGATCAACATCAGCCACACATGCTGCCACTGATAAGGCTGGCGCCGAGGAAGAGCTGGGAATGGAGGTGATGATGGAGGAGGAGGATGAGGACGTGGATGAGGACAAGAGCGAGGAGGAGAAGGAGAAGAGGTGCGAGAAGGACGTGGAGGGGATGGACGAGAACCAGACGCATGCAGTGCATGAGGGCGAGCCGAAGGGCACACCCGAACACGAACAGGACGCCGCTGGTGGTACGAAGGATGCTGATGGTGACAAAGGAAGCAGGCGTACAGCTGTTGGCGTTGGGGTTAGCGAAGGTCGTGAAACCACAGTTGACCGTGTTGCTGGTGTTGATGGTGTTGCTCGTGTCGATGATGGTGTTGCTGGTGATGGTGTTGCTGGTGTCGATGGTGATGTGTCGTCGTCGTCATCGTCGGCGGTGCCGTTTGCGTCGTTCACGCGGGAGAAACTGCGGCAGCTCGTGGATGCGCTCCAGATTGAGTTTGCAAAGTACAGGTGAGCAGCGATTGTGACATGCATGTAGGGGCGGATACACACACATGTGTGCGTGTGCGTGTGTGTGTCTGTGTGTCTGTGTGTCTGTGTCTGTGTGTGTGTGTGTGTGTTTGAAATGCTCGTCCACTTGCATCAATCTTGGTCGTTCCACATGCATCTGTGTTCACACACACATACAAGCACACTCTCATGCTCAATTACACACACGCACACAAACATCACGCAATCACACACACACATGACGCACACACACCTGTGGATTCCTCCTCTTCCCCTCCCATTCCCCAAACACCGCGCACATCAGGGCGGAGACGCTGCGTCACCAGCGGGCGTTTGTTGACGCACACGGGCGACGACCAACACCCTCGGAGCTGACGGTGGAGCACAGGCGCGCCAACGACTTGCTTCTCGCCCTCTCCATCCAGTTTGCCAACATCTTCGCGGTGTACGCCAACACGTGTGCGCAGGAGCAGCGTGTGGGGGAGGCGGCTGCGGTTCTGGCGCCGCTGTCCGTGCCGCTTGACCAGATGTACCCGAAGATTGTTGCAGCAGTGGCAGACCTGCCTTCTGGTGCTGCGAGGGGTGCTGGCGGTACTGGTGCTGGTACAACTGGTGCTGCAACAACATCAACAGCAACAACGGCAACCTCATCATCGTCACAATCGTCGTCGTCATCACCATCATCAACAACAAAGTTGGCCGCCCCGTCGCCAGCAGCGGTGTCGGCGTATCGCAACTTGTGCTGGTACCCATTCATGCCCTCGGCCCTGCTTCAGCACCCTTCCCTCACTTCCCTCCAGGACAAGGTGTGCGATTATGTGTGTGTGTGTGTGTGTCTGTCTGTGTGTGTGTGTCTGTTTGTGTGTGTGTGTGTCTGTTTGTGTGTGTGTGTGTGTGTGTGTGTGTGTGTGTGTGTCTGTGTGTGTCTGTGTGTCTGTGTGTGATTGCTGCATGACTTGTGCTTGTGCACGCGTTCACGCGTCACATGCTCGATATTTCGCTCACACGCCCAATCCACTGACCGACCTGCAATCCCCATCCCCACCCCCTCAACACACCCTCAACTCACCTCATGCCCGTGGTGGTGGATTTGCAGTTGGTGGTCTACGAGCTTCAGAGCTGCTCGACACAACAGACGTTTTCACGCACGCGCACGCGGCTGCTGCACGCGCTGTCGACGGGCTCTGTGCCTGTTGAGGTTTCCCCGACACCTGAGGAGGAGGCGGCACTGAAGGTTCGACATGACACGACGGCAGTGCCTTGCGTTGTGGACGAATGTGCGGTGGTGCTTATGCAAGGAGTCACAGCGTTGGTGGCGGCAGTGCGATGGTGGTGGTGAACACGTGCTCTATCCTCCACACACACACACACAACACACACATGCACACACTCACATGCACACGCTCACTCACACACTCACACACCAACGCAGGAAGCGAACAAGAACACGGTGCTTGATTCAGACATGAAGCGCGAGCCTGCATCCACGGGGCCGGTGTCGCCAGCGACACCGACGTCAGGGACAACACCACCCACAGCACCATCAGCATCAGCCACAACATCAGCTGCTTCGACAACCTCGCGCGCACAGCAGGAGCACGAGCAGGCATTCGCGGCAGCGGAAACGAATGTTGCGGAAAGAAAAGAAGGCGAACACGCTGAGGAAGAAGACATGCAAGAGCAACAGCCGCCGCCGCAGCAGCAACAAGACGAAGATGAAGAAGGAGAAGTGACAGTAGCGGCTGAAGAAGAACAAGAGGCAGAAGACCAAGAGGCAGAAGACCGAGGGGCAGAAGACCGAGGGGCCGATGAACCGGCAGCAGCACCGTCGCCACCACCACATGTCGATGATGCAGACATCATTCTTATCGATGATGACGATGATGAAGATGAAGGCGACGGTGATGATGATGATGAGGATGAGGATGGTGGCGGTGTGGAGGATGAAGCTGCATTTGATGCTGGCGATGGCACCGGCGCTGCAGGTCAAGATGAGACAGGCAGAGCGGACAAAAGCGATCGCGAAGAGGTCAGCATGGATACTGGCCTGGACGACACGGGCAGCGTTGACATTGACATGGATGACGCTGGTGACGTTGATGACTACGAGATGGCGCGTTCGCCCGAGCTACCACTCCTCTCCTCCACATCTTCGTCGTTGTCGACAGTGGCGCAGCAGAGCCAGGACAAGCGCACACCCTCACCGCTTGCAACCGCAACGGCTGCCAGAACTGTCACATCAGCCGCAGTGCGCAGGCCAACGCCCGCATCAGCAACCACAGCAGTCGCATCAGCAGACGACAAGAAGCACGGCAGCCCGCTGGCGGGGTCGGAGAAGGCCATCCAGTTGTCCGGAATAGACGCGCACAAAGGCAAAGGCCACACACACACTCTTCCATGGGCTGTTACCACAAAACCGACCACAACAGGCACCACCAGCACTAGCAGCAGCAGTAGCGGTAGCAAAACTGCAGATGAACAGGAAGAGCGGCAGACACCTGTGTCTTCTTCCTCGCTCGTCAGACCAAAGGCAAAGTCGCCATTATCGCTGTCACTGTCATCGTCGCCATCAACAGCGCCGGCGCACGCGCGGCCAAAGCCAACGCAGCCGTCGCCAACATCATCCCCGCCATCCTCCTCCTCCCCAACAACAACATCATCATCAACAGCAGCAGCATCAACTGGAGCAACAACATCAACAACAGCAGCATCAATAGGAGCAACAACAGCGACAACAGCATCAACTTCGGCTGCAGCGGCGCCACGGGCGCGTGCATGGCTTCTCTCGTCTGCACCTGCTCGCCCACGCCACCATCACCACCAAGTGTCATCACTGTCATCATCATCAGCAGCATCGTCTGCATCAGTAGCATCGGCAAAGCCGGCACAGTCGCCCACGCTGTCCGCAGAGGCAAGGGCACAGGAGCAGGCTGCGCTCGCACGCGCACTTGAACCCTTTCCCGTCGCCTCTGGGCGCCTTGCTGCAGATGCACCCAGCAAGCTGTGTCCCATGAATCAAGTGGGCCTCATGGCACAGGTGCACCTCAACAAATTCTTCATGGAGGTGAGCAACACGTGCTTGGGGGGCTACGTGTGTGTGTGTGCGCTTTGTGCGTGTGTGTGCATGTGTGTGCGTGTACCTGCGCCCACTTTGTGTCTGTGTGTCTGTGTGTGTCTGTGTACGTGTGCATGTGTGCGTGTGTACGTGTGTGTGTGTGTGTGTGTGTGTGTGTACCTGCGCCCACTTTGTGTGTGTATGTGAGCTCAAGTGTATTTTTCTGTGTTGTCGCCTTCCACTGCCACAATCGTCGTCATCACCAATCTTCTCGCACCAACTCCAACCCAAATCGACAACACCACACATTCACTCACACCCTCAGCTGTACAAGTGGAAGGGCCGCCTGTCGCTTGGCCGCCCGCCGTCGCTGCCAACGGCATATCGCACCGTGCTGCAGTACCAGCAGCTGATGCTCAAGATGGTGATGGCCGACTTCAACCAGCAGCTCATGGAGACGTTCTCATCCAAACCGTCGTCCTCGTCTGGTTCGCTCATCTCCAATGCGCTCATCACGAGCATATCTGCGCCGTCGGAAGCAGGCTTCATTGCACTTGAGGTCAAGCCCAACCTGACCAACTACTCGTTTCAGGACCGCGACGTCGTGTGCATCCAGCCTGCAGGCAAGCACACGCCCAAGACGCCGTTCGTCTTCTCCACATATGTGCGCAAGGAAGGCCGCGTGTACCTTGAGACGTCGAGCGAGGGCGGGGCGTGGCTCAAGCCGAACCAGCGCGTGTCGCTGCGCATGCTCATGGGCTGCACAACAGCGATGCGCCAGTACGAGGCGGTGTCTCTGCTGAACAGCAAAGGCAGGGTTACACCTTACATCCTTGGCGTGCGCCCAAGCACTGACGCCGGTGATCGCATGTCGGGGATGCCGTTTCCCGCGCGTGTGTCGCAGAAGCAGAAGGACAAGGTGGCCTCTGTTCTCAAGACGTACAAACAGCTCAACAAATCCCAGCGCGATTGCATCCAGTACGCTGCCGTGGCATTGTTTTGCTTGCCTCTGTGTGTGTGTGTGTGTGTGTGTGTGTGTGTGTGTGTGTGTGTGTGTGTGTGTGTGTGTGTGTGTGTGCGTGTGTACCTGCGTGTGTGTGTGCGTGTGGTTGTGTGTGTGTGTGTGCGCGCGCGTATGAACATCTACGTCTGCTTTGTCAACTACCACCATGTCACCACCATTCTGCTCTTTGCGCGCATCTCCGTCTGTGACGTTCCTCCCCGCCACCGCCATGCTCACCTTGACCATGCCTTCCACAACCATATCCCCCTCCCCCCTCTTACTCCTCACTCATTCTCCTCCCCTTCCCCCCCCCCCACTGCCTTCCCCCCCCCCCCAACGCTCCGTGTCTTGCAGAACGGTGCTCACGAACCGGTGTCCCCTGTCGCTGATCCACGGCCCACCAGGCACGGGCAAGACGACAACACTCGTCACGCTCCTCGCTACCTTCTTCCGTGCTCGCGGCGGCCCCGTTGATGCTGTGCCCATCCACGCTCCATCCACATCGTCATCATCGTCATCGTCATCAGCATCTTCCCTGTCATCGTCGTCGCTGTTTGGTTCGCGTGGCAGCCGGGCCAGCAGCGGTGGTGTTCGCGGTGTGACGGCTGTGCGGAAAGGCGGGGGCGGCAGCACAGCGGGTACACCGTCCAAGCCGCTGGTGCTGCTGTGTGCGCCCTCCAACGCCGCCATTGACGAGCTCACGCGCCGGCTGATGGGCAGCAGCGATCTCAAGTCCCACCGCGTGAGCGTGTTGCGTCTGGGCCAGACTGAGCGCATCAGCACAGACGTGCGCAGCGTGAGCTTGGACGAGAGGGTGGCGCAGGCGCTGCGGCAGAACGAGCGCGAGATGAAGCAGGTACAGGCCAACATTGACAAGGGGGAGGCAGCCAAGGCGGAGGTACAGCGGAAGCTGCAGAGCAAGCAGAGCGAGGCAGCCCAGTACGACGCGTACGCGTCGCAGTTTGCGGACATTGCAGCGCACACGAAGAACATGGAGGGCGAGGCAACACGCCTGCGCGTTCAGCGCGACTCGATTGACCAGCAGCTGCGCAAGTTCCGTGATGCGCTGCGCCGCTGCCGCAACGACACAGATCGCACGCGCCGCGAACTCAGCGCACGCCTTGTGGATGAAGCCGACATCATATGTTGCACGCTGAGCTCGAGTGCGATTGACGCGCTGCGGCAGTGCAAGCGCACGGTGGACCTGCTCATCATTGATGAAGCGGCGCAGTGTGCCGAGCCGGACGTGCTGATTCCCCTGCAGTATGGCTGTGCGCGCCTTGTGCTTGTGGGCGACCCCATGCAGCTGTCGGCGACGGTGTTTTCACAGTACGCGCGCGACGCCGGGTACGAGCGCTCGCTGTTTGAACGCATTCACCCAAGCATGCGCGCGTGGGGCAGTGCGCCCATGCTCAGGGAGCAGTACCGCATGCATCCGGAGATTTGCGAGTTCCCCAACATCATGTTCTACGAGCAGAAGCTGCTCACCGCCGGCGCTGTGCTTGCACGCAAGCCCGCGCCGTGGCACGACGCGCTTGGAGCGTATCGCTTCTTCGACGTCTCCTGGGGCGAACAGAAGCGCGGCGGTGGCAACTCGTTCTGCAACGTGGAGGAGGCCATCACGGTTGCACGCATCATCTTCCTCATTGCGCAGGCTGCACCCGCTGAACCGCTTCGAGGCAAGATTGCCGTCGTCACGCCATACACACACCAGCGGCAGTGCATCAAGGGCGAGCTTGCACGGTGGTTCGGCCCTGCTGTGGCAGACACGATATCTGTGGACACGGTCGACGCGTACCAAGGGCAGGAGAGCGACGTGGTTGTGTTCTCGTGTGTGCGTACGCGGCAGCTTGGCTTTCTCACGCAGGAGAAGCGCATGAACGTGGCGCTGACACGCGCACGCCTGAGCTGCTACATTGTCGGCAACGCATACAACCTGCGGCAGTTCAATCGGGAGACGCTCATGTGGTCGCGGCTGGTGGCCAACGCGCAGCAGCGCAGCGTGATGGGCCAGTGTGCGCAACCCTACGACGTGCACACAGAGGCTGACGTGTCGAACCTGCTGTGGAAGACTGGCAAGCCAAAGCCGAGCATGGCAGACTTGAACAGGGCTGCAGTGCAGCCGCGCCAAGTTCCCCACCGCCTACAGCGCGAGCTTGAGCGAGCACACCATGGCCACGATCGCAAGGACAAGGGCGGGCGACGGAAGCGGACGCGCCGTTCACGCGGCAGTCGCGGTAAGAAGTCTCGTTCGCAATCGGCCTCACCAGCACCACCACCGACTGCCCCATCGTCGTCAGCATTGCCCAGCACAGTTCCATCGCCAACATCAACGTCCACATTAGCAGCATCAACAACATCGACAGCATCAACAGCATCAACAGCATCAACAGCAGGAGCAGCAGGAGTGCCGTCCAAGCCCGTGTCAACACCACCAGCATCTGCGGTGAGCGCGAGACCTGCGCCTGCGGCCACTTCCACGCGCACCCAGCGCTCAACCACGCCCACTCCCTCCAGGCGCTCATCACGTGATGCCAGCAGCAGCGACGTTGGGGGCGGCGGCGGTGGCGGCGGTAGCGTGATCACGCCTTCACCATTGGCCACAGCAGCAACAGCTCGCACAGCCGCACACGGCACGACACGCAGCAGTGGGCAGCAGGCAGGCATGCACAGACCCCGCCAACCAGCGGAGTCGCGTGTGCGAACACAGACGCATTCACGATCGTCGTCCTCATCCCCGCCTGCATCAGCGTCAACATCAACAAGAGAATCGTCAACATCGAGGTCAGTGGCAGCAGCAGCATCGACATCGACTGCGGCGGCGGCGGCGGTGACGGGAACGCGACGTGCCTCGCGCTCGCGACTGTCAAGTGAAGGGCGAACGCGGGACAGGCGAGAGGAGCGAGGTGGCGGTGATGTGTTTCATGACTACAGACGAGACCGCGATCGCAGCACGGAGCGCAGCCGAGACAGAGACAGGGACAGGGAAAGGAGGGCAAGGGACAGAGACAGAGACAGAGACAGGTTGGGAGTGGAGAGAGGGCGTGAACGACGCCATTCGCGCGATCGCAGTGATGTTAGAGCAGGAGATCGGGGCGAGAGGAGCCGAAGTGACAGAGAGCGAAGTGCAGTCCCATCGCGCCGTCGCTCAGCCTCCGTCGACCGTGATCGTACCAGCACCACCACCAGCACCACCAGCGGCAGGGATGTGCGATCAAGTGGCGATGGCGGTGGTGATCGTCGAGGTGGGGTGCGGCTGTATGACCGGTCCGTTGCCAGGAGTGGCGGTGCTCCACCTCCCCCACCATGGTCATCGTCGTCGTCGTCATCATCATCATCATCATTGCGGTTATCACCAGCACCTTCGACATCGAAAGCATCAACACCGCTTGCGTCGTCATCGCACGCCCCTGCACCCCAATCACAGGCACAGCGGCAGCGGCTGCCATATGTACCGCCCGCGTTTGTGCCAACAACCATTAGCGAGCACGATCCCCGGCTGCGCATATTCGCCAGGCAGCAGCAGCAGCAGCAGCAGCGCCGTGCGACTCCAACATCCAGCAGTGCCAGTGGTGGTGTTGGTGGTGGTGTTGCTGTAGGGGGGAGTGTTGGTGGTGGTGTTTCTTCGCGGCCTATCATAGGCCATCGGCCGCCACCCACGTCCAGCGCACCGGCTCACCGCCCACCGACAACGCGCCCCGCGTACGCTCCACCACATCTTCATCACCACCACCACCACGGTCCGTCACGACAGCAGCAGCCACCACCACCACCACCACGACCAGCTGCCCCTGTGCGTCCGTATGGCCAACACGCTCCGCCAGCACACGCGCGACCGCAACTCCCCGGCCAGCGTGCGCCACACCCACACCCACACACACACCACACGCATCACACACATAACCCGCAGCCACAACAGCAGCGACAACAACACCAGCAACCGTCGTCGTCGTTGTCGTCGTCATCGCAACAGCGGCCAGCTGCATACAACCCGGCACGGTCTGCGTTTCAAGTGCAGGATTGGCAGGCGAGTGTTCCCCAGCTGCCGTCACCGCCGTCAACATCGTCAGGATCGTCATCATCATCTTCAGCGACGGCACGGCCCGTACATGACCCAACAACAGCTGCCCGCCGCTCAGCCACCCCAATCTTCGTCAAGGTGCGTGTGTGTGTGTGTGTGTGTGTGTGTGTGTGTGTGTGTGTGTGTGTGTGTGTGTGTGTGTGTGTGTGTGTGTGTGTGTGTGCGTGTGTGTGTGTGCGTGTGTGTGTGTGTGAACGGGAGGTGGGAACACGAATATGCTCGTTCTTGTGCTCGTGTAGCCCTTCACCTTCTCACTTCGTGTGCGTGTGTTTGCATCTCTTTCCTCCCATCTGCAGTCGCATCCGGGCAAATCGACGGGGAACGTTGCCCTCGACATTATCAAGAGCATGGAGGCGCCGCCGACGGAGCACACGGACTGATGCGCTCCATGTGTGTGTGTGTGTGTGTGTGTGTGTGTGTGTGTTGTGTGTGTGTGTGTGTGTGTTGTGTGTGTGTGTGTGTGAACAAATGGTACACAGGATGGGCGTGGGTGTTGTTCACTGCGCACACATTCAGTCATTACATGTTTGGTCATTACATGTTTGGTTGTTATTTGGAATGCTGATGTGGACAAAAGAGAAGAAGGCGTGTAATCAATTAGAAGTATGTTCAACAACGAGCACGTGCACGTACGGATGCATGAGTGACAGAAAGGAAAGAACAAACAATGGTTAAACATGGAAGGGAGAGACAAGGCTGGGCTAAAGCGCGTTGGGAAGCGCGCGCACGAGAGGGGAGGAGAAGTAGAAGAGAAGACGAAAACAACACTGTCGCGTGCGCTTGTGTCATTGAATTCCACACGCTTGATGACCAACATCTGCATTGAGCGTGTGTGTGTGTGTGTGTGTGTGTGTGCGTGCGTGCGTGTGTGCGTGCGTGTGTGTGTGCGTGCGTGTGTGTGTGTGTTGAGTTGCAATCTGCGCGCACCATGCAACATCAACACCACATGCCTCCTTCCAACCACAGACACACAAGTCACGGTGATCATCTCACCTCTCGCGTACGCGTCGCTGATGCCGGTCTCGAGCTTGTTGATGAACCGCTGCATCTCTCTGCAGAATAGCGGAAGAAAACGAAGAAAGAACAGGTGAATACGGACATGCACATGCGTGCGCATGGGTGTGAGGCATTGCATTGCTTGTCTACTGCGATTGTAGCGAGGAGTTGAGCGCCTGCGCCGAAGAACAATTACACGATCCTGAGAAACAGCGCTGTCGATTGACATCATCATCATCCTCGACATCACCAACACCACCACCATAATTCATCATCATCATCATCATCATCATCATCATCATCATCATCATCATCATCATCATCATCATCATCATCATCATCATCATCACCGTCAGAACCACAAGTGTCACAATACCTGATGCAGTCGAGGCGGGAGGAAACGTCCGTTGTGCGCACGAACAGCGGCGCATCTGTTGCAGACAGAAGGGATCAATCACAGCACAGCATGAACCATGTTAGATACATATTCGCGTCCTGCGTGTATGTATATGTGTTTGTGTGTGTGTGCGTGTGTGTGTGTGTGTGTGTGTGTGTGTGTGTGCGTGTGTGCGTGTGTGTGCACGTGTTTGTTGTGTGTGTGTGTGTGTGTATTCTTGCAATACACATTGTAGCACCTATTAAAAACGCTCACATGCGCCATTTCGCATGCATCACCAAGTCCACAACCAATTGGGCAAGGATGGCATGGTGCGACCACAAACCTCGCTGGGCGGAGAGACCGAGGAGGCGACGCACATCATCGTCGCTGTTGTTGATGCGCGCGAGCGCAAGATCAAACACACGCGCAAACTGCTGCAGCGTCTTGCCAAGCTGTGTTGGTTTTGGTGGTGGTAGTGGTGGTAGTCATGTGGCGTGAGAAGAAGTCGCGTAAGGCTGGTTGAGTAGCTGGAGCAGACCCATGCAAGACATTACGAACTGGCACAACTCGTCAACCAATCCATCATCAATAACAAGTACACCTCATCTTGGAGCGCGTCTGCCTCCGCCGACGTGACGCGACCGGCGGCTTTTTCCTGCACGTTGCTCCCTTCAAACCTGGAGAACAAAACCGCACATGGGATACACATGCGTAAGCGACAGAAATGAAACAAACAATCGGCAAGGACTACGCGTGTGCATGTGGGCTCAAACAGACCATCCATGCACAACAAGTCTCGTTGACTTCGCTTGCACACGTAAAACCAAACGCACACACACACACACACACACACAAGCAAGCATCTGCACACACACCACACACACACACCTGGCTGGGGTGAAATCGGGCAGGGATGCTGTATCTCTTCCGCTTCGCAGCAGTTGATTGTGAGACACAAGTGTCTGGTTTTGCTCCGACAACTAAGCAAGCGGAGAAGGAGGTGGTGGCGGTGGCGGTGGTGTGGTAAAGTGGTGGCGAAGAGAGTGCAGGTGTGATGAGGTCATGTGTCCGTAGTTTCAAAGCGAGTGCAAATACGCACATGCACAGAGACACATGCGCACGTGCACGGCAAAGAATAAGCCGGCAATGTATGTGTGTGCGTGTGTGTTCATGTGTCTATGTGTGCGTTCATTGTGTATTCATGTGCCTATGTGTGTGTGTGTGTGTGTGTGTGTGTGTCGTGCGGGTACCGCATCGATTGCTTCTCGGAGATCGCGAATCGTGGTCGCCTGCGCAGAGAGTTTCCGAAGCAGAGACTCCCGCACATCCTAAACGCGAGGATGTGTGTGTGTGTGTGTGTGCGTATGTGTGTGTGTGTGTGTGCATGTGTGTGTGTGTGTGCGTGTGTGTGATGAGTCGACTCACGGGGAAAAGCGAGACAAAATCAACGCACTCTGCATGCACGGTCACATATGCAGGTGTGGTGTGTTATTGCAGCCACGTACGTCGGCATCTGTGAGCGCGGCACGCAGTTGTCGCTCCGATCGCACAAACTCCGCCTCCTTCGCTTGAAGTTCCTGGATGTGCCTGTCGACCAACAACGCAGCAGATGTGAGTGTTTGCGTGTGTTGCGTATGTGTGGCGTGCGTGCGTGTTCGTGATGCATGTGTGTTTGTGTGTTGTGGTATGTACACGAGCGTGTACAGCGCAAGCGCATTTGCGACCAAGGCATGCACGCATGCAACAAGAAAGAAGACAGCCAGCAGCACGTGCAACCCGCACCTGTCTCTGAGCGCCGTCTGGTTTCGCTCCTCCGCCAACACCCGCTCCTCAAGCTCAACCCTGGACCCAACGCACGATCCAGCATGATGATACAAGCATCGACAACAGGAATAACAAGTGAGCTGAATGAATGGGATTTGGATTGCGCGTGTGTGTGTGCGTGTGTGCGTGTGTGTGTTGAGTGGCAACATTCGCATGCGTTGCATAAACTAAGCAGGACGCGTTCATTCGCACACACACACACGCACACACACACACACACTCACTTCTGCTGAAGGGACTTGGTTTCTGCGACTCGAGAAGACAGTTCTTTGCTCACCTGCCATAATATCATGCAACCACACATGTTTTTGGGGGCAGACACGTGAATAGCACGCACGGCAAGAAATCACACGATGACGATGCTGACGATGATGACGATGATCGCATGTTGGGCGCCGCTGCGTGTTGAATGTCAGTCACTTGTGGGCGGAAGGTGGACAGTGCACATCAAACAAACGGCAGGTATTGGGCAATATCTGTGCTCCAAAACTCACGCGTTCGTACAGCTGTCGCGCCTCGTCACGCTCCTTGGTGACTTCACGCAGCACCGCACGTGTTTCTTCAACCGCAGAGTTCTGGAGAGAATTCAATGCACAACGAACACTGTCAGTGGCTAGAGCAATACACTGCATTGGAGCACAACGCCACCGCAGGCGTGTTGCACGCAAGATGTTTACATTCAAACAGAACGTTGCATCTTCCATCCATCCATCCATCCACCCAAGTGTCCTAAAACGGTTCCGCCTTCCATTCATATGTCCACCCATTCATCTCACACACCACCACACACATGCACCACCACCCACGATCCCAGCACACGTATCATCACAACACCTTGAGTTCGCCCGTCTCCAGCACTTCGCGTCGCAGATCCTCAACCTCCCGCTTCAGCTCGTGAATCGTCGTCTCCTGATGGTGGTGGTGGTGGTGGTGGTGGTGGTGAAGGAGGACGTGAGAAGGCTGACTGGGGTATGTGAGCTTCCTCAAACGCACGCACACTCACACATACACGTATGCCTACATGCGCAATCACACACCATACACCAGCAAACGGCACGGCGCATGACGATGAGTCGCACCTGCTGGTTGATTTGCTGTCGCAGGACGTGCGCTTGAGTCTGTGATTCCCGCACTTCCGTCTTCAGCTGCTCCTCAACCCGGTGCATCTTCTCCACTTCGTTGCACTTGGCCTACCATCACGTTGGTGTTGTGTGCACACAGTACAGCATACTGTCGTTGTGAGCATTGTACAGAAATGGTGATGAAGCAGAGTTGCACGCGCAAGCAGGTATCTTCGCACACATTTGCGTCAAACAAACACACTCTGGTGATTATGCGCTTCCGCGGCATGCACGCGTGTGCATGTATACATCCGCATACACCCTTTCACGTACACGTGAACACACATGGTACACACACGCAAACACACACGTTACACACACACACAAACATTTCACACACACACACGCACACGTGAACACACATGGTACACACACGCAAACACACACGTTACACACACACACAAACATTTCACACACACACACGCACATTTCACACATACACGCACACATTTCACACACACGCACACATTTCACACACACGCACACATTTCACACACACACACGCACACACACACCTGGGCGCAGATGAAAGTACAGATGCGAATGTAGTCAGCACATGTGTGTACTTACGTGTGTGTGTGTGTGTGTGTGTGTGCGTGCGTCCGTGTCGTGTCAGCGACAAGCTGGTGTGCGTGTGTGTGTGTGTGCGTGCGTCCGTGTCGTGTCAGCGACAAGCTGGTGTGCGAGGTGGTGTGGAGGTGTTGTTTGTTTGGTGGCTGTGTCCCTCACATTGTGCCCAGCAGCACCCTTGCACCCTTGTGTGACAAAACAACGCGTGCATTCATCCCGTCCTGCATGCACAACACGCACGCGTTTCCTACCCTGGCCGCGTCCCCTTCTCGCGTCTCCAGAGACAACCGCTGCAGCTCGCCACGGAGGCGGTGGACTTGCTGTTGCAGTGTGGAGTTCTCCTTCTGCAGTGACGCCAGCTCATCTTGGTAAATAGCATCGCGTTGTCGATACACGCCCAGTTGCTCCTGTACAACAACACCAACATGCGATTTGCATGTGTTAGAGCAAGTGTGGAGTGGATAGTTTGCTCAAGTTCGGGTCAAAAAGCCAAGGTGCTTGTTGCTTGCTTTGCTTTGGCACGTTACTGAACACTTGCCACACCCCAGCGCACAACTTCACTGCGACTCGTTCACGCACACGCACACGCACACGCACACGCACACGCACACGCACACGCACACGCACACGCACACGCACACGCACACGCACACGCACACGCACAATCAAACAGAACACAGCCACAATCAAACACAAGAAGCCACAAGCAGCCACGAGCAGCTACAAGCACCCACACACACGCCCACGCTCTCGCTCGCACGTACCTCGAGGCCGCTGTCACCTTCATGATAGCTGAGGTGGCTGCGGTTGGCTGCGCGCGGGGTGCGAAGAGCTGGGAGGTCGTCGTCAAGCAGCACATGTGATACGTCCTTCCCAGTGTGCCGTGCAGGGATGGGGGACAACTGGCTCTCGAGCACATCGGCCCGCGTGCTGTGGCTGTATCGTGACCTCCGTGTGCCGTCAAGGTCGTCATCCCCTCCTTCTTCTCCTGCGCGCTCACGGTCTCCTCCTCCCTGCTTCTTCTCGAGACGAAAGCTCACGGACTTGCCACGCCCACCACCATGTGCAGGCTCGCTGCGGTATTGGTCCCCATGCCCGACGCAGCCTTCCACATCGTCGTCATCATCATGCCCATGCCCATGACCATCATCGTAATCATCATCATCGGCACGTTGTGCAGTGCGGTCGTCGCCCGTGTTCCCTGTGCCGCTGCCGCTGCTACCGTGGCCATACTTGCTCAGGTGCCTTGTCAGTGTGTTCAAGTAGTTGGCAAACATGCCGTCATCGTCGTCCCCGCTGCGACCAGCAGCAACCCTTCGTGCATCACCACCACCACCACTTCGTGCGTCCTCCATCATCATCACCATCCAGCAGCGACACTCACTCAAATTCACCGCGGCCGTTACTGCGGAAATCTAACTGAAATCGTTCGCAGTTTTTCATCAATCGCCGTCGCTGGGGACGCCAACAAACCAAACGCGGCAGCAGAGAGCGAGAAGGAAGCAGCCTCAGAGCACATCACAGCACCAACGCAAACACCTCACGCAAACACCTCGCGCAAACACCTCGCGCAAACACCTCGCGCAAACACCTCGCGCAACTCGACTCAGCTTCCGTGTTGTTGCGTGTTCACTCTTGCTGGCCTTGCCTGAGCCGGAGGACCAGCAAAGCAAACACAGCATCCAACATGGTGAAGAAGAAGAAGGGTGGAAAGAAGAGTGCCAAGGGTAGGAAGAGCGCAAAGGGGCGCAAGAAGAAGTCGGCCAAGTCCAAACCAGAGGTGCGTGCGAATGGAGTGCACAAACGATCGAGGAAGATGCTGCTGTGTTTTCATTTTGTGTGGTCATGTGAGTCAATGATGCTGCTATCATTCATTTTTGAGCCATTGATTGATTTGGGCGCCCCTCGTGCTGTGCTGTGCTATGCTGTGTGTAACGTGTTGCAGGAGCCACCGCCACTTCGCTGGCCTTGGGCGCACTTGACAGATTCATGGCTGCCCCGCAACCCGTACGCCTACGCGGCGGTGAGCAGACCTGCTTGTGTTTGTGTCTGTGTGCGTGCGTGTGTATGTGCGTGTCTGTGTGTGTGTGTGTGTTTGTGTGTATGTGCGTGTCTGCGTGTCTGTGTCTGTGTCTGTGTCCGTCTGTTTGTGTCTGCGTGTCTGTGTCTCTGTGAGGTCATGTGCATATGATATTCGGTACATCTCCGAAGAGCAAGCAAGCCACTGACGCGCAACAAATTGCTCCCTCCTTGCTTCCCTGCCTGCGTGCTTGCCTGCTTCAAGCTGCAACGCAAGTTCCGATCGCACTATCTGCACACGGAAGGGATTGTATGTACACAGGAAGAGTGGCGCCGGTCGCTGTTATTACACAGAGACCAATATGATGACCCAACGCAGGAGGCAATGGTGCAGGTGTGTTCATGGGTGTGTGCCTCCGTGCGAGTTCATTTCGTACATTGCCCGCCATCTCATTGTGTTTGTTTGATTGACACTTGGCACCAGCCCTCATGCTCACTGTCGCTTCGCTGCAGATGCTGGTTTGTATTCTGGCGGAGGAAGGCAACCGCAAAGACCCACCAGACAACTTTACCCTCTTTGCAGCCGCATTGAGGTGTGTGTGTGTGTGTGTGTGTGTGTGTGTGTGTGTGTGTGTGTGTGTGTGTGTGTGTGTGTGTGTGTGTGTGAAGTTGGGTTGATGGATGTGTGTTCGTGAGTATCCTGTGTGTTGTTGTGTTTGTCTCTGGCTATTCCTTTGTTCAATCTACTGCTTCTTCTGCCTCAGTATGTGAGGTGCAACAACAACATCCATCACCACCTCGGACTGCGTGCCTGTGTGCTGCAGATTCAGACACAGCCCGGAGCACTTTGCGCGCATGTATGCGGAGATGAAGCGGTGGTTCGACCAAGTGGACGACAGCGCCGTTTTTGGCAAGATCACCGACTTTTTCGACCCGAGCAGACTGGTGCGGGTGTGTGTGTGTGGGTGTGTGTGTGGGTGTGGGTGTGTGTGTGTGTGTGTGTGTGTGTGTGTGTGTGTGTGTGTCTGTGTGTCTGTGTGTGTCTGTGTCTCTGTGTCTCTGTGTGTGCGTGGGTGCGTGGATATGTGTGTGTGTGTGTGGGTGGGTGTGGGTGTGTGCGTGTGTGTCTGTGTCTGTGTGTGTTTGAATTTGCTGGCTCGTTGTGTCGAAGCCCACGTGTATCTCCTTCATTCTAGCAAGCACACTCACTCACACGCACATACACACAAACAACCACACCCGCAACACACCCGCAACACAAAACACCACGTGTGCAGACGCGAGAGTACGACCACTTTCCCAAAGAAGAAGCGCGGCGGCTGATTGAGGAGGACAACACGATCACATATGGACTTCATCTCCTCTACACCGAAGAGCCAGAGGAGGTTGAAGGTGCGATGATGTTGTGTCTTGTGCTGTAACATGTGTGTGTCTGTCTGTGTGTGTGTCTGTGTCTGTACGTCTGTGTGTGTGTGTGTGTGTGGGTCTGTGTGTGGCGACATTGTGCGTGAATGTATGTCTGTGTCTGTGTTTGTGTGTTTGCTGTTGCGGCATCGCATACAATGATGCGTTGTGCCATCGTTGTGATGGGACGTGCTTCCATCACTTCCAATTTGCTAACCCTTGCCCCCCCCCACGTCACCAACCTCGCCCTCCTTCATCGTCCACACATGCATCCCCGTCCACAGACGTTGACTTTCACCTCTTTGAGCCGTTGGCGACGTATCTCGTGCAGAACAAGGTCTGTCTGTCTGCCCACGTATTGTAGCGTGGACGAGCGAGTGCCGGCTGTTGCTGATGGTTCTGCAGCGTTGCGCGCTTGCTTAACTGCACGCAAGCCCTTGCGGACTCGGTGCTGTGCCACACACTCACACGCATAGTCGTGTATTTGTAAAGTCACAAGCACGAGTAACTACCTCACTCACTCACTCACTTACACATACACACACACGCTCACACCCACTCACACATACACACTCACGCATACACACTCACACCCACTCACACATGCACACACACACACTCACTCACTCACTCACCCACACACACACTCACATGTTCAACCACACACGGGGCGCTCTCGCGTGCAGCTGCGACTGACGGACTTGTTTTTCCAGTTTGACAAGGACAAAGATGGCAGCTTGACCATGGATGAGATTGTGCGCGGCATTCAGGTTGGTGGCGAGTGATGGTATGTATGTGTGGAAGTGCGGGGAAAGGTGGGCAAAGAACATGAAGGAACAGCGCCATGAAGTGCAGTCTGGATACCGCGATCATCCGCACACACGCTCATTTACACTCACTCACAACGTGTGTGTGTGTGTGTGTGTGTGTGTGTGTGTGTGTGTGTGTGTGTGCTGTGCCAGTCGCGCGGCATTGAAATGACGGAGGAGGCGGTACAAGCGCTCGTGGACGACCTCGATGCAGATGGCGATGGTGTCGTGAAATACAAGGTGCTAAGGGCAGCAGCGGCATGGCTCGTTACGCACGCACGCACGCGCGCTCGCGTGTTTGTTTGTTTGTATGCATGTATGGATGGACGGATGCAGTGTCTGCTTCGTGCTGTGTATGTGTGTATGCGTGTCTACTTCAAACCCTTGTGCATGACGCAGCCTTGAGCTCACGATCATTTCCTCCGTGTGTATGTATGGGTGCATGCATGTGTGTCATCGCAGGAGATGAACGCTTCACGGTTTCATGCTACGTTGCAGCGACGCCAAGTGACACGGGTGAGAAGTTGCCACCTTACTGTGTGCGTGACTCGCCTTCTTGCATGATGGCCCTGACTGCGCAGCCAGCGTGTGGATGAAGCAGTTGCACATACACTTGCACTCGCTCACACACATACACACACACATGCACATATGTCTTGGTGCGATGCAGGCCCTGTCAGCACGCTCGCAGGCAGATGAGGAGACGATGAAGATTGTGGGACAAGTGTTGCGGATGTCATTTGACGACTTTTCGCTGCTTGTTCTCCATTCCCACTACGTCACTCGCCCTTGACAACTTGAACCCGCGCACACACTCTCACACACTCACACATGCGAGCGCCTCTTTTTTCTTGTGGTGATGCGTTGTATCGACTGACGCGTGCGTGCGTACATTCAATCACATACTGTGTTGCCTGGATGCTCATGTAATGTTGCTCGCATGTGCGATGCTCTTGTCACAATGCAGAGTGCGCTTGCGTTTTGTGTTTGTGTGTCTGTCACGTCACGACTCTCGAAGAGGTCACGTTCATTGTTGTTTCTCTATCCCACATTGACTGCATATTGTCCATATCACCATAAACGACAACTGTTGATGATGTGCAAACGTTACATGACTTGAAACCCACTCGCCAGCAGAGTGGGTGGCTGTGTGTGTGATGAAGCTGTGACCGGACTCATCCCGTCAAGCGCAGTTCGACAAGCGACCAAATGAGCGAACGAAACAAACAGCCGAATGGTTACAGCACAGGAATAACGTTGTGTGGGATACGCAGACAAATTTTGTACATGTCCTGTCGACAGAAGGCCGTACGGTGGCTGTGATACTGCAGCAATGAGGCCGACAAGGGCAAAGACAGCAAAGATCTATGGCAGCGAGGATGGCAGACGAGGGTGATTGGCGTGGGTCTCAATTCTTCCTTGGTAACAGCGCGTTGTCAACGCATTCACGCACGCACACAAGTATATAAAGGTACGCACACACACACACACACAGAGCACGCGCGTGGCAGCTTCTTTCTCAAGTGCGCGCACACACTCCCTTTCTCCTCGAACACTGCAGCACAAGCGCACACATCGCTCATTTTCCTTCCGCTGCGGAGTGACTCCATCCACGTTTGCGCTTCAGCGTCCTGCATCATCGCCCTCAACTGACGACATCAAGCTCAAGACTCCATCCCGTGTACCTTGACTGCCATCGCGTCCCCCAGTCGACAGCATCGACGCACGAGAGGCACGTCTTCGTCCTGCGTCGATTGTTGTTTCAACCACAACCTCCTCAGCACATACAATCACACTCTCCCCACGCCCAGGCAAGCCAACACGCCTGATCGACACACGCGCATTGCACCTTTTTGTCAAGGCTTGGCAGCGACAACACAAACTCTGCGTCGACACGGTGGACAGCAAGACGACGGCCCTTGCCTTCCTCGCTTCACGTGCTGGCTTGAACGCTGAACGCGCTGTATACACGGCCACAGGACGGTCGCATCAACGCCATCCTCCTCTTCTCCGCTTCGTCCATCTGCATCATCTCAGGCTGCAGCCATGCCTTCTGGGTCACCCCCTGCAAAACGCCCAGCCACTACTGCAAGAAGGACGGACACATTGTCAGCCGACGCGCCCACGACGCCAAACGCACCCACAACGACGGTACATCGGCCACCCGCGACAGCAGATGCACATGCGTCTTCCACTACAGCACGCACCCCTTCGTTGCCGACATACGTGCCTCCCACGACGGCACGTGCATTGCCCGCCGCAGCAGAGGCGTTGCTCGCCTTGGCAGGCGCTGCTCCGGCCACGTCAAATGCTGGTCTCGCCGTGACACCCACTGCTCCCGTTCCAGCACGCACTGCTCCCGTTCCAGTGCCCGCTACTCCCACAAGTACACGCGCTGCTCCCACAAGCACACGCGCTGTTCCCGTTCAAGCACCCGCTACTCCCACAAGCACACGCGCTGCTCCCACAAGCACACGCGCTGTTCCCGTTCAAGCACCCGCTACTCCCACAAGTACACGCGCTGCTCCCACAAGCACACGCGCTGCTCCCGTTCAAGCACCCGCTACTCCCACAAGTACGCGCGCTGCTCCCACACGCGCTGCTCCCGTTCCAGCACGCACTGCTCCCGTTCAAGCACGCGCTGCTCCCGCCATGGCGAACGCACCTCCTGCTACAACTACCTCAGGAGCACCTGCCTCAGCCTCTCCCGCAGCTGGCAACAATGGCGTGCCGGAAGCTGAGCTGCAGGCACTTGGGCAGGAAATGCTGACATGCCGGGACCGAGCAGGAATAGAAGCGCTACAGCGCCAAGTGCTCGCGGCCGGAAAGCGTGTTCTGATCGCTCGGTTTGGGGGCCTTGATGGGGGCGCAGGCTGGCGCAAGGAGATATCACCGATCATCACGGCGTACGTCAAGCAGCGCCCACGACTAGGCAGCCTGCTGCTTGCAGTGGCTCTGAAAAGCAAGGTGCTGCAGCCCGACGACATCGAGCCTGATGCGCTTCAGGCCCTCTTCAGTATGATGAGCGACCGGCAAGTTGACGTGACCACGCGCAGACATATGGCATATGCAGCCGACGAGGTCGCCAGCCAGGCACCGCCTTTGCTGCTGAATGCAGTGCTGAAGGACGGTGACCTGCAGGAGCTGGTGGTGGAAGCACTGCTTCACCACGCAAATTCTGTCACGTGCGGCTTCCTCTTTGACGTGTGCCTCTTTGTGTTCAACGTGTGCAGGGCGGTATGCGGCTTTGAGTCGACAGGTGCACGCCGCTGGTTTCGTGACCTGCCATTTACTCTGAAACTCGCTGGTTACAGGGCCCAGGACAACGATGTCATTGTGACGGCTGTGATGCTCCTGGTCCGAGCTGCGGTGGAGTTCATGGATGCAGTCGCGGATGTGCCGGATCACCTCGCCAAACTTTTGGTGCAACACAGTGGCTGGACAAGACCGCGCTCAGTCTCCAACCTATTGTCCGCGATAGTCTTGGCGCAGATGCTGCTCAAGTTGTCGGATGTCAGCGAAGCAGATGCAAGGGCTTTCCTTTCCAGACTTGCTGCGTTCACCCCATCACAGCATGCCCGCCAAATTATGTTGGTGGTCCAGCACGTGCACGCGGCCACATCCCCGCAAGACGTACAGCCTCTATTTGGCATGCTGGCTTTGCAGTTTGCAGCCATGTCAAAGCAGCAGACGTCACAGTTTCTGCTCTGCCGCAGTTACCCTCACGTACGACAGCTAATCGCAGCACTGCAGCAGCAAGACACCTGGCCACCGCTCGTGATGTGGCTGTCTGGCTTGCTCTGAAGGACATGGTGCTGGGTCAGCGACTCGTCGACGCTGATCTTCGACGTTTGGCCGTCCAAGCCGGCTCGCGCTACCTGCTCGCACAGGACGCACCAGGCTGCGACACCGATGCGACTCTGCTGTTGCTTGCCGACGTGACGCCAGAAGCGGACGTGGACAACATGGTTCGCACGCGGGTGACGCGAATCGAAGCGGTGCTGACGAACACCGACGGAGACCGGGAAGCAGGCGGAGGCATGGCCGCAGCGGTCGACGATATGCTGCTTCTGCTCCGTGACCTGGTTGCGTGCTCATCACATCTGTCATACGAGGTGGCATGCGCGACCGTCGACGTCTTGTGGACGGCTGCCCAGCTGCATGCGCAGGCGAGTGAGCTCATGGTGTTGGCGGTGCGTGGCCTGACGTACCTGGCGAAGTCCAGCACACACGTCGCAGAGCGCATGAGGCATCGCGATGTGGTGGCGGGTGCACTGGCTGCCGCTCGGCGAGGAGTCTCCCAGAACACACTGCAAGGCAAAGCCATGCTGGCACATGCCCTGGGGCTGGTGTCGGCCATCTGCGCGTCTGATCCCGCCCACTACGCCTCCATGCTCGACTGTCATGAGGGTGCTAGTGGTGTTGGGATGCTCCTTCAGATTGCACGCAATGACACGGGAAAGTGCTGGGCCAGCGCACTTGGGTTGCTGAAGGACCTGCTGTACACGCCTGCGAGAGCAGAGGTGCTCCGCGTGCATCGCCGGATGTGTCTGGAGGCCATGCTTGCTATTGTGTCGAGCAAACGCGTCACGCCCAAGATGACCATCCAGCAGGATACGCGCATCGGAGCAAAGCATCTGTCACCAGCATCCTACATCGCCGACATCCTCACGGAGCTGCTGCTGAGCGTGGATGAGGAGGAGAAGGAGAAGAAGGAGGAGGAGGAGAAGAAGGAGAAGAGCGGAGATGAGCGTCTCGCCAGGGAGAACACAACTCATGTGGTGGAGGTTGCTGTCTCCCGCCCCTTGCTTGCGCTGCTCGTGCATCGTGCTCGTGAGATGAGGCTTTTGGGCGCTGGTACGCAACGCACGGCTCGCGTACTCCGCGCACTGGAGATCCTGGTGGGCATGCGCGGAAATGCGCTCGAGTTTGTGTGGGGCACACCCGACGCGGCTGGACCCGGGGATGCGCCGGCGAATGGGCCTCAAGACAGCGACAGTGACTGCTTTGGCGACTTGCTCGACGAACTCGCGGAGTGTTTGGCCTCAGAAGGACAGACGCATACCGTTGCGTGGTGTCGCTTAATGGGTGTGGTCATGCGCACGATGGAATCGAATCTGGAGCCCCTACGACTGGCACTGCGACGGCATGTCAGCCGCAACGCTGAGCGGTTTGCCAGTTCGACTCGGGGGTCTGGGATGAAGTTCCTGCTCAGCGTGTTCAAGGACGCACTCAAGCGCTGCGGCTGTCGCACCTACGACAACGATGCCGTGGTGGTTGACACGCGCGCTCGCCTCCAGGCACTGATCAAGGACCTGACCCAGGAGGTCCGGCGGTCGTAGCGACGAGGGAGGGGAGGGAGAGGAGGAAGGGGAGGAAGGGGAGGAAGGGGAGGAAGGGGAGGAAGGGGAGGATGATTGGTGGTGGTGTGAAGTGGGGGAGAGGGGGAGGGTGCAGTGTAGTGTGCTGTGGTGTGTGTGTGTGTGCTGTGTGTGTGTGTGTGTGTGTGTGTGGAGGTATGTGTGTGTGTGTGTGTGTGTGTGTGTGTGTGTGTGTGTGTGTGTGTGTGTGTGTGTGTGTGTGTGTGTGTGTGCGGACAGGAGGTGTGTGGAGGTGTGTGTGGAGGTGTGTGGAGGTGTGTGTGGAGGTGTGTGTGGAGGTGTGTTGTTGAGGGGCAGGTGCAGAATAAACGCTCTCTGAAACACATCCAAAGTGACAGCACGTTCAATCGTTCAAGGTGTGACGTAGGATACAGGAAGAGACACCAAAGGCCAAGCAAGCAATGCAGCACAGCAGCATGTGCAAGAAGCACATGTACAGTGCCTCAGTGCACCAACGAAAAAAGAAAAAAAGAAACGTGAGCCTCCAGCGGGGCTCGAACCCGCGACCCTGAGATTAAGAGTCTCATGCTCTAACCAAACTGAGCTATGGAGGCTGGAACTGATCCAATTTTGGATGGGATCACAGGGCAAAATTTGCTCTCTTGATTCAGGAAGGGACTCGTTGTGTGCTTCGAGCGCTGACCTTGCTTGCTGCCTTTCTGACTGTCTCTGACTTACCGAGCAAAACAGAGCGACAGAGAGGCAAGGACACACTGTTGCACCCTACCTCTACCTGTTGCACGGTGTAGGGATCTGAGAGCAGGGAGAAGGTAAATGGTTGGAACAACACTGCCCTGCCTGTGTTTCGTGATGATGATGGACCTTTCTGTGCGATCTTGAATAACATTGAAGCATTGAACTCTTCTACCTTTTGCTTACTTTAGTTTATTCTGCTTTGTTTTCTGGGAGTGTGTCTTCTTTTCTTTGGAAACGAGACAGGTGGAGGGAGATGAGAGGCTACTGAACCAGTCTGGGCCGTGTATTGTAACACTAGAAGTAACGAAGCGAGAGAGTGTTGTTATGGTTGAGTGATGAATGAAGAAAAGATCTAAAGATGGTGCTGTTGTGAGCGCTGAACTGAGATGGCTGGAGTCGCACGGACCTCTTGGGGATTAGGAGAGTGGCTAGCACACCAGAACAGCAGGTGTAGAGGTGTGGGGCAAGGACACAGCAATAATGCTTTGCACGAACAAGGGAGGGGAAAAAAAAGGTGCCTCCGAAAAAAATAGTGAACGCGAGCCTCCAGCGGGGCTCGAACCCGCGACCCTGAGATTAAGAGTCTCATGCTCTAACCAAACTGAGCTATGGAGGCATTTCTTGTTGTGGCGGAGAGAGAGAAAGTGACAATTACAACCATGGCTGGATGCTGCTGGCGAACAAGACGAACGCAGCAAGCACTTGAGCACTGTCGTCACACTGTGATTGCACACTCACTGGAGCAAACAAACAGGCGGACGGTACAAGAACCATGACATGCACAACGGCGCGCTTTGACTACATAAGGCGTGAATAGAATACAAATACGAGGCAAACAACCAAAATGGGGCAGGGGGGGGGGGATTCGAAACGACAAGAATCAGACGATAGAACGACAGCAGAGCACGACTAGAATGACATCCACACAGCAAACGGAAGTCCGGCCAGCTCCAGAGTAGAGGCACCTCTGCACCTAGGCACGTCATGCGCTACTGCTGCTTTCGATGCTGTGCTGCTGCTCTTGGTGGTGCTTCTTGGCCAAGCGGATCAGCTTGTTGGCCTTGCCCATCGTCACGCCAGCATCCGTCAGCACTTGTACTGTCAGCATCTCGCCAACAACCAACTCAACCAAGTCATCGAGCGTGTCAATGTCGTGCTCAGCAAGGGCTGGTGCAACCTGCGGTAACAGCGAGTGGTGGTCGAGCCACGCTTGCAGCTTTGGCTCAAACGAAGAAACAGCGGTCGTTGTGGCCGTGCTGGAAGGCAGAACGGACGGTGACGATGACGACATGGGTGGTGCGGTTTGCGGCTGGCGTTGTTGACAGCCATGGTTGCTGTTGCTGTTGCTGTTATGGTTGCTGTGATGATTGCTGCTGCTGTTATGGTTGCTGTTGCTGCTGTTGCTGTTGCTGTTGCTGTTGCTGCTGCTGTTGCTGCTGCTGTTGCTGCTGCTGTTGCATGCGGCAACAGCTTTACGCACACGCTCTGCGATTCTTGACGCATCCATTGCTCGGTCAACCTCGTACTGGAAGGATGTGATCCCATCCATGTCAAACAGCGACAGCACCACTTCGCGCACAGTCTTGTGCTGCTGTGGTGGCGGCAGGTGCAGCACCCGTGCAAAGTACTGGTCCAGCGCTGCTATGATCTTTCTGTTCACCACATCTGGCAGTGTCATTGCCAGCCGCTTCATGCGGTCAAACGAATCGTACTCGCTCGCCGACGCCACACTCAAGGAGTGGCTGTTGCTGTCGTGCCAGCCACTGCCGAGGAAGAGTGGAATGATGCGGCAAAGACGGATCTTGTGTGGGTGCTCGTGAGCCAGCTGCTGCAGCTCAAGCACTGCCATCCACTCCAACAGCACGTTGTCGCATTTGTCAAGATGATCAAGTGAGCGCATCTTGTGGATTGCAGCAACAGAGACGACGGGGCAGGTGACAGTGCTGTTTTGCAGGGCTGTCATGCATGCACGCTTGAAGTTGACGCCGGTCTCCAAATTGTTGGTGTCCACAAAGGTCACCAAGCCATGGCGCTCCAACTTTGGGTGCAATGTCATCACCAAACCTCGGTTGCCGCGTTGCCTGTGACGTGGTGGTGAATGTCGAAATCAGAAAGGAAGAGAGCGGGAAGCAAAGACACTCAGTTCGCACCGTACACTCATGCACACACACATGTCCTACCTGTAGCTGATGAAGACGTCGTACTCGTTCTGAAGACCGAGAACGGGCAGGAGGGGGCCATACTTGGCGACCAGATCCCCTGGTGACAGCAGCTGTGAGCGGCCAACGCGAAGCGCTTTCTTGTTCATGTGGTGGGTGTGCACGTCCTCGAAGAACAGCAGTCTGGTGTCATTGAATGGCAGCAACAACGTGGCCTTGAGCTCGGGGTAGCGCTGCGTGACAGCTGTTGTGATGGTGTCGTACAGCATGTGCAGTAGCGTGCGAGGACGTGCAGTCATGATCTTGATCTTGATGCCACCAACAGCGGGCACAAGTTGCAGCTCTATCTCCGCCACGTCCGAGAAGATCACGGCGTGCGTGCGGCTCAACATGGGTAATTCGGTTGCACCGTATTGCATGTGTGCCAACACGCATGCCAGAACCATCGGGAACAGGCCCTCTGGCAGGAACGACGCGTGCTGTGCATCCTCAACTCGTACGCTTGCTCCCTTCTTGAACTCATTCAAGCTGAAAGCCATGTAGGTTGTCTTCTCCTCGTGCCCAACATATGGGTTGACCTGCTGCGCTGCTGTCGTACTCAGCGACACGGATGCGATCGTGCTGCTGCGGTGCCGGATCGTCATCGGCAGGATGGCTGGAACCAGGTACTGCTGCTGGTGGTGGTGTGTGTCATCGCTGTCGCCCATATCCTCATTGTCATTGGCAGAGTTCGCACGTGCAAACGCTATGTGACTGTCAATCAGCTTGGGTGGAGAGTAGTGGACGCACAGCCCGTACTGCATCATGAGGCGAAGGAACGGCATCACTAAGTTGCTGTCCACGTCTCTCCACAACACATCAAGTAGACGACGGTGCAAAATCCCCCCATGAATCAGATCTTTCCAAAGCTGTACATGCACACCCCTCGCCTCTTGGTCTCTCAGGTCCGCGTGCAGGTCAAAGTTGCGCATGACGCGCGTCATCGTGTCCACCGCCCACTGCGGACTCAGGATCACATAATCCTCCATGCCTGGCACGTGGTCGTAGTACAACACCATTGAGTACAGGTGCAGGAACTGGAGGCACGCCCTTGTTTTGTCACGTGTGCGTAGCCCACACGTGCGCGCAATATCCACCACCTCGTCAAACGTGAGCAGCGGTCGCTTTTCGTCGCGGGCAATGGTGTTGAGCTTGTCGAAGAGGTGGAGGTATGGCACAGCCACTTCCTGGCTCACGTACTCCTGTGCCAGTGCTGTGGAGGAGATGGTCTGGCGCAGGTCCTGGATCATGGGGTCGTGGATGGACTTGGTGTTGTCGACGGGCCAGAACCACAGCTTGTGGTTGCTGTTGTACACAACAGAAGCAAATGAAGGGTGTCTGCTGATAAGCTGGAACACGTCGTGTGATATGGTCTCGTGCTGCTTCCGCTCGGTGATCTTGTCAGCAAAGGTGCCGATGATGAGGACGGGTGCACCCTTGGCGTGGAGGTGGAGGGAGGAGAGCCAATATTCAATAAACTCCCACGTCTCTGTCCGCTTGCTCTCATCTTGATACAGCACGTCCTCCATCGAGAATACCAGCAGATACACCGCGTACCTGGTGTGAGGGATGTGGGATGTGGGGGAAGGTGAGGGCGGGCTGAGTGGGTGAAGGAAAGTATGTTGGTGGAGGGCAGCGGTGGACAGCACGCACGCACACACACACACACACACACACACACACACACACACACACACACCTCACATGCACAACGCACACTCACACACATAGTACATGCAAATACATCACGCTTACTCTGTGAGGAAGAAAGGGTGGAAAATGTAGAAGGTGGACTGGCCGCCCAGATCAACCACCTTGAATGTCACACGCAATTTGCCCTCGCCCATGGTCGTGTCCAGGTTGAGGTCCTTGATCGCCTTCTCAATGTCCTCAGCGGAGACACGAAGTTGAGAAGTGCTGGCCCTTCTTGAATGTACTACGCTGTGCTGCTGCTGTTGCTGTTGCTGAACCTGCTTTGACAGTTTGGGTGACGACGAAGAGTGGTGTTCGTCGCCTTCGGTGGAGGTGCATGCTGGCTGTGTCTTCGTTGACATGGATGGGGGAGGGCCATGCTGTGGCTTCTTGCTGTCTTCAGCGTCATCGTCCTCCGCCAGCTGTTGTTGTTGCTGCTCAACTCGGCGTTGATGCTCCTTCATCGCCGCTGTCACCGCCTCCTTCATCGCTGCGCCCATCTGAGTTGCCCTTGCCAGTGCCGTGCCCAGCAGCGTGCGCATGTACTCGCTTATGTCACCCGCAACGTGCTGTTGTGATGCGATGGCATGCAGGGATTGGTGTAAGATGACATGGACCAGAGTGCTTGCCTGCAGGCAAGGGAGAAGTCGCGATTCCTACACACACACACAGACACACACAGACACACACAGACACACACACATACACACAGACACACACAGACACACACAGACACACACACATACACACACACCTGCCAGTTGCAGACGTCCATGGATTCGATGATGACAGACAGATCCATGCTGTTGGCGCCAAAGGTGGAGGGCTCGTCCTTGTTGAACTCATCGCCCATTAGGGAGTGCAAGGTGGTGGTCTTGCCAGCACGCCCTTCACCAACCAGCATCAGCTTGGCACGCCCTGCCATCTGCGTGTCTGAGTGCTGTGCAATCTGGTGCATCGCCGCCATCACCTCACGGTTGCGCTCGTGTTGAGGTTGAGCCTGTGAACGGCGGTGGGCGTGGTGGGAATGACCAATGAGATGAAGAAAAGCAAGGGGGCAAGGAGTGGCATTTGGGTAGTGGTTGACGTTGTTGGGCACTCACGTCTGCAGGTTGGTGGTATGGTGCTGCTAGGTTGGAGGCAGTCGCTTCGGCATGCGGCATCGCCGCCAGCGCTGTGGTGGGCTGCAAGAAGAAGTGTGAGTGGCACTTGACGCATGCCAGCACGACGAACAGACGTGCAGTCTCTTAACAGCAAAGCACAGAACCACACAATCACAGACAGACAGACACACACACACACACACACACACACACACACACACACACACACACGCAGACAGACAGACAGACAGACAGACACACACACACACACACAAACGCACACGCTGTTTTTACCTGATGGTCAGAAAGGATGGCAATGATAGTGTTGTGTCCTGCTTCATGAGCCAAATCCAATGCGGTTTTGCCGCTGGCCTGCATTGCTCGTGGTTCCAGGGCATGCGTTTTCGTTAGCACGGGTGGAAGAAGGCAGCGCGATGAAACACGCAAAACAGAGAAGCAGTCCTCTAGAGTCCTTGAGAAAGCAGCTGCAGGAGCGCACCACGTCCGTCATGGTTGCATCGGCGCCTGAGTGGAGAAGCAAACGGACGACATCGGGGCGGTTGCCCGCACTTGCAGCGTGCAATGGGGTTCGCCTCTGTGAAGCAAGCGAGTACAGGTGAATAAGAATGGCTGATTGAAGGATGGATTAAACGTGGGGACAAGGCTGTCATGGTGATGACAGCGACTTCAGATTGAAGAGAATCGACAAGCAGTCACACAAGTGATAGGCGCAGGACATATGTACATTGTATGTTGGCTGGTTGACGTCGGCTCCCCTTTCAACAAGGGATCGTGCAACCACCTCGTGGCCGTTGGAGCTGGCAACGTACAGCGGTGTCCATCCCTGACAAGTCAAGCCATCCAAAAAGCCAAAAGCAATGTGCAGCAACATATGAAGCGCTTTGTGCAGCAAAACGGGCACAAACAACGTGCTGTTGCAGCAATCACCACAGCCAGAAGACAAAACAGCACGTTCATCCTTTCGCAAGCAACCTTCTCACACAAGCACCATAACAACAGAACAATGGCACGACAAGCACGGGCATAACCTGCCTGCAGTCGTGGAATACACTGGAATAGACATCAACACGACATCGTACATTATTTGTGGCGAGATTCATATCTGCTCCTTGCTCAAGAAAAAACTGCACGAGCTCCTCGTGACCATTCTGACTCGCGGCGTACAGCGGTGTCTGCCTCTGTTGCCCCAAGCGCACCCACACATGCGTGCACATCATCGATCAGACACGGCGACAAAGCACTCACAGAGCCCAGCGGCAACGAATACGAAAAAATTCATAGCAGCCAAGAGCCAGGGATTTGAGAGAGCAGTGCACAGTCTCAATTAGAGACTACTAGCACAGCAAGCACGATAAATGACACCCGAATGTGTGGAGGCAGCATCAGAAGAGACAACAATGTACACTACATTGTTCGTTGCTTGATTAATCTCTGCTCCCGCCTGAACAAGAAAGCGCGCCAGGGCGTCGTGGCTTTCCTCGCTCGCAACGTACAGCGGTGTCCATCCCTAGAGGCGGACAGAACCCAAAGGTACACGCATGCACAGAGAGAAGGAGGCAAGCAGACAGGCAGCCAGACGATCAGAGCATGTGTGTGAGTGTGCAATTAGGCACGAATGTACAGTCCTTCCTAACGTAAATACCGCCACAGAGCGACCCACAAGACGCATTCCGACGCAGTACTTTCGGACGTCGTTGCGCAACCCCCCCCCCCCTTGCTGGACGCAAGCAGACCTCCTCCTCAAAGAGCATCAAACTAATGGCAAACGCGACAGAGCTCGAGCAACAGCAACACCATTGTCACCGACGCTGCACGGGACGGCGTCGTTGTCTCCAACAAGATACATGACATACATTGTTCGCTGCCTGGTTGATGTTCGCCCCTTTATCAACCAGAAACCGCGCAACTGCCTCATGGCCTTCCTGGCTCGCAATGTACAGGGGCGTTGCATGCTGAAAGAGATGCAGAATGTGAAATCAAGAAGCCAACTCACTTTTGAGAGCCAGATGGGGACTGAGTGCACCGGCGTTCAACTGTTTCCTACCCCAACGCACACACACACACACACACACACACACACACACACACACACGCACGCATACTAGACATACACGCACGCATACTAGACATACACAACACACACACACACACACACACACACACGCACGCACACACAATGAGATACCATGCCGTGTTGTCGATGGATGTTGGCGCCCTGCTGCACCAGGAACTTCACAACATCGACGTGCCCGTGTCGGCTTGCACGATGGAGCGGCAAGTCCCCCTGCTCAAGACGCACGCCGGCAATGTGCCGTTGTTCGATAGCGCACGTGAGTTGTGATGTGATCGCAAAGTTTGCCGTAGCCTCGTTGCCTCAACACCCTTGGTTCGGTCCTGCTCGTCCAGCTTCCTAGTCCAGCAAGAAAGCGCACCATTTTGTCCGACGCATCCCGCTCCTTGTTGATATCCGGCTTTGCGCCCCCTTTTGCTGGATCACCCTCCAACAGCAACCGCTTCACACGGTCCAGATCTCCCTTCTCGCAAGCCTCAATGAGCGCACTCATGACTGCATGAGGGCGTGTGTAGGTCTGTGTGTGTGTGTGTGTGTGTAAGTCTGGGCGTGTGATGAGCGTGTGTGTTGTTGCTGGAGGTGTGCGTGGGTGGGTGTGTGGGTGTCGATCAAAATGGCTCCTCAGGGCTTGCGTGTGGTGCTGG